CGCCAGATCAGCCAGCTTCTGTCTCTGGTTTCCCGGGTACCAGCTCCTATGGTAATACCATTGGAAGAGAGAAAGCAGGGTTCGTCGAGAAAGCCATCGGTGAACACTGTCACCGTGTCTGTCACAAAAGGGCTATTTGAAGTAGTTACAGAGACTTGCCTACTTTGGTCTCCTAATGCATATCTAGCAAGTGGTGGCAAGACTTACTGCATAGAGAGGGACGGTGGAGAGCAAGGTCTTTGGGTCAGACTTGGCCTTGAGTACCAGCTTTAGTCAGCTGAGACCAAGGAAGGGAAGAGGAAGCCCTCACCAGCTGTCGTGGGGGTAATGGTAGGGTGGTGCCTGGAGTGTGCTCGAGTGCTCTGTAGATGACGGTTCTTGCTATTACGCATTCTCTGTGCAGAAAGGAACTGGGGCTCTGTGTTTCATTTCCATCAAATGCTGATATTCATAGAATCATGTAGAGCAGTGTACAGGTCTGAAGGAATGTAATGGTACCTTTTTATTTTACAGGGTTCTGAAGTCAAAGATCTTGAGGTTAATAATGGCAGGAAAATCATCACTTTTAAAAGTAATTCTCCTTGGAGATGGTGGAGTTGGGAAGAGTTCTCTAATGAACAGATATGTGACTAATAAGTTTGATACCCAACTCTTCCATACAATAGGTGTGGAATTTTTAAATAAAGATTTGGAGGTAGATGGACATGTTGTTACCATGCAGATTTGGGACACGGCCGGTCAAGAGCGATTCAGAAGCCTGAGGACACCATTTTACAGAGGTTCTGACTGTTGCCTACTCACTTTTAGTGTCGATGATTCTCAAAGCTTCCAGAACTTGACTAACTGGAAGAAAGAATTCATATATTATGCAGATTTGAAAGAGCACGAAAGCTTCCCTTTTGTGATTTTGGGTAACAAGATTGACATAAGTGAACGGCAAGTGTCTACAGAAGAAGCCCAAGCCTGGTGCAGGGACAACGGCGACTACCCTTACTTCGAAACAAGTGCAAAAGATGCCACGAATGTCGCAGCGGCCTTTGAGGAAGCAGTGCGAAGAGTGCTTGCTATGGAGGATAGGTCAGATCACTTGATTCAGACAGACACGGTCAGTCTGCACCGCAAGCCCAAGCCTAGCTCATCTTGCTGTTGATCGTTAGAGAGGGTGCCCGAGCATTCTAACCAACTCACACATATATGCAAAGAGTGGAAGGAGAATTAGCGTTTGCAGCAATGGATCATTTACTCATAAGATTAAACTAACCATATCGCTGCTTCATCAGTGTGTGGGAGAAGGGACACTCGTGGAAGAATCTATTTACTCAGTTCATGAATGGCACCTTACATTTACAAATTGTAACAGCTGTCTAATAACATTTAATTTAAATATGTAAGTTCCAGAGCTAATAAATGAGATGACCAAGACTTTAATTGTGATTAAAACAAAACACTTGAATATTCTAGAAGGTAGTGTTTTTTTCCTGGGAAAATGGAGAACTACTTTTTATATATGTATATTTTTATGTAATTAGCATTCTGTTCCTGGTTCGGGGGAAATTTTCCTAAAGCAATAATGTCAGATATTAAAGATTAAAATCTAATGCATTTGCACTGCAGTCATTTGATTACTTCGTTATTCTCCTCAAAATTATTTAGGTGTTCACATTTTCATTCTACATATCAGAATTGATCTCACGAGTAATCGCTTGTCATCTTAGAGAAATTGCTAAGGATTGTACTTTGTGTGAGGGTAAATGAAGACATCTTTATTTGGCCTTGTATTTATTTAGTGTCTCCTCTTCACTGAACATTGTTTAGTGATTTGCTCTCAAGATTTTTTATCATCTTGCTGCAGTGACCTAACTTACTGATAAAGCGAATTGTGGTCTTTTGTGGGTAAAATTCACATTCCGCACCATTCATGCCGATTCCATCCTACAGAGGCAAACCAGTGCCTAGGCCTCATGTTAGTGAAGACGGGCCCCTTGGCTGTGGAGTGATGGGTCATCAAAGGACATGCTTGGGGTGGGGGTTGTCATGCATTTGAAAAATGAAATAGGCATGTTTCTTTTCCTGGCCCCACTCAGTGGGAACCACTGAAAAAGAGTATCATTACAGTAAGCTAAGCTTCTGAAAGTCTAATTTCCTAACATAACAATTTGGCTATAAGCAAAACATTTTGACATTTTTAATTTGGGGAAATTAAGTCTCTTCATAATCTCAGGTTACAGAGAGAGCTCTAGTTTTTATTATTTATAATAAATGCCCCACCCCCACCCCCGCAGCCTGTAATCCTCTATCCAAAAAACAAAACAGGAATCCATTAACAAATTGGTATATATTATATGTTTTTCCTTTTGTTTTTTCTTGTGGGGACTTGCTTTTTTTAAAATAAAAAATGTACCCATTGTTTTGTGACTTGCCCTTTTCTCTTAATATATCTGGACATATTTCCATTATAGTAGACCTGCGTCATTTATTAGCTGTATGGATGTCTAACAACTATTCACACCATTCTCTACTGATAGACATCTAACAGTAGTATATGAAAATGCCAGTTTCCCACACCTTGGTCAACAATGGGTATTAGGAGTAAATTTTGTGATTATTTTTGAAAAGGTGGTAGAGTCCATGGTTCAAAATCATAAAGCACAAGGGACAAACATCTACCTTTGCCACCCAATTTTGTCCCTGGCGGCAGGCATGTGTTGATTTCTTGGGTACCCATCTAGATATTTAGTACCTAAGGAGAGCATATTGTATTACTTCGCTAGGGCTGTCATGACAAAATGCAGACGGGGGGGCTTAAACAATGGGAATTTTTCTCACAGTTCTGGAGCCTAGAAGTCCTAGATCAAGGTGTTGGTAGGTTTAGTTTCTCCTGAGGGCTCTCCATGACTTGCAGATGACTTCCTCTGCATGTTCCGCCTAGCCCCACTCTCCCGCCTATGTCCAAATTTTTTATAAGGACGCCAGTCAGATTAGATTAGGACCCACCCTAATGGGCTCATTTTAAAGGCCGTGTACCCAAATAGTTCCATTCTGAGGAACTGGGGGCTTGAAGTTCCAACATACGAATTGGGGGGTGGGGTTCAGTTCAGCCCGTAACATATATGCATAGGTATTTACAAACTATGATTTTGATACCTGTGTAGATTTAATACCTTAGTGGTTTTTAAACTTGTAAGCATCTTTTAAAATCTATTTTCAGCTAAATAAGGATTAGATTAGTTGGCGTTCAAGGTCTGGAGCTGGGCAGCAAAACTGATCAAGAGATCTTCGTGTGTGTAGACAGGTTGATGGAACGGAGAGTAATCCAGCTTCATGGTGACTTAAAGGGATCTGGGGAATGGGGACAAAGTAACCAAACAATACTGAAATGTGTATTAAGAGGAGGAACAAAACCTGACTGAATAGCTTGGGCCTTTGAAAAAAACAACTAACCGATGGAAACAGTCTTCAACGAGCAGCAAAAGGCAGCTGAAAATCGGATTCTTCTGGGGAAAGTAAAGTGCCTGTGTCTAAGTGGCCTGTATTCCCTACACAGGAAAAAACACAAGTTGGGGTGTGGGGGAAGCAGCTGCAGAGCCCCAAGGAAGCAAGCCGGAGAGAGCTGTCGGGTGCTCCCCAGTTTGGGAAGAGGGGGGCCTGTGTGACTGCACAGTTGCTGCCACCAGCGTTGGGCCGTCTGTGACTATGCTTCCATGCTGTGAATGCAAAATGCCTTTGAAACAGAGTTCAGTGTTAAAGGCAAGCTACTGACCTCGGACAATGGACAAATGTACATTTGACAGCTGATCCAGCAATTACAGCATGCTGTGTGGAAGAGGGAAAGGTAGAATAACATCAGTGAATTAAAGCTTTTGTCACCTTCAACCTTGTGGAAAATTCCCATTTTAGTTAAAACATCCTAGATATTCCTTGTCATAAAATTTTTACTTCTCTATAAAAACTGGTATAAGCTTTTACTGTAATGACACTGATGCCAGTTCTTTCACAATACCAGTGGCTTGTGGGGCAATGAAGTGTTAAGTAAAAACTGGACCTGTGTAGTCAGTGGGTTATGAGAAGTCACCACTGTGGACTGTCAATCCGGAAGTGTTGGGTGACGGAAAAGCGAGAACACGGGTATAGCACGGGCAGAGCAGAGATCCATGGTCTCTACATACATGGAAAGTGTGGGCCACTAGGAGGCATCCTAGGACATGCAAGAGGACAAAACCAGATTTGTGCATTTTATTTGGATCATTTGGGAGTGCTAATGATTGCAAATTCAGTGCCAACATTTAGTGCTCAGGGGAGCCTGACACCCACAGACCTACCAGATCTATGCTTTGCTAGCTCTTCAGCCTCCTTAATTATCAGCCTGTGGTCTCCCCCTGACACCAGCCCTGGTCCCGTGCTGTCAGCTGTCCCCTCCACATGCCCAGTGCGGCTTTTCTGCACACCTTCCAGCCAGTATGCTTTCCCATGCAGCCCATCGGTTCCTACGCTCATCGCTGGACTTGCCTTCGAGCTCCTCCCAAGGTGCAGTCTTACATGAAAATTGGCGTTTAACTACAGTAGTCGACTCACACAGGGCTCTTGTTACTTGTCCCCATCTCACCTTCTCAAGCCTAGAGAAAAGGATCTCTGCAGGGCACCGCTGCTGTGCAGCTGAGCCAGGTGCTTCCTGTCTCAACCCTACGACCTCTGCTGAAACACCCCGCTGCTGCTTCTGCTGTATCAGTCCTCTACATTTTAAGTCAGAGGGCAGAGCACACTATAGAAATGAGTGTTTGGGTCTCTCCAATAAGCATGGCTGAAATTACTCCTAGATTTCTAGCTGAGTATTGTTGAGTGCTCCCAGAGCTCTGGCACGTAGTGTGAGGTGATCTGAGTTAAGATGGGGTAAGATATATGAGTATATTAGTTTGTAGACGTTCAACGGGGGGAAAAGAACTAAAACAGTTATGGTGGCAGGGTGAGCAGCACTTTAAAAATTCGATATTAAACTTCCACAATCTTGGACAAACATCTTTATTTAAGAAGTCAAATAAATAGATGGGGTTAAAAATCATGGTAGCAATTCACACAAAGATACAAGACCAAACTTAGAATTACTTGCTCAAGTTATTCAGAATGGGAGAAAATTCAAGTGCTCATAATTAGCGCAGAAAGTATCAGGTTATATTACTTGATTTTCAATTGACATTTACTCGTTCACAGTACGATCCCACACGTGTTACAGTACAAGACACCACCCCGCCCCCTTCGGCTGCACAGCCTGAAAGGTTGACTGACTGCATGTCACCATAATGCAGGCTTTGCTTTCTTTACAACTCTCCCATTGCCTTACAACGCTTTACTAGTACAGGTTATCAGCAGGCTCACTCCATCTTTAGTACACTGTCTGAGGGAAACGGAATAGGAGGACATAACCTGTCACTTTGGTTCCAAGCTCCCATTTTATAAACATGGACCCAGGATTCTAGAATGGCAGCAGGATCACCGTTCCCAGTCTCTTGACGGGCATGCACGTGGCATTTGGCACTGCAAAAGCTGTTTGCTTCGGTTTCTTGGGTAGTGCTACGTATACTGCCTGTTCATAACATCTCTAGATGTACAGCTAAGCCCATGTATGTGCTATCAACTTGATTCCCCGCTGCAGATGCTGTTGGTTTTACATCTGTCTACCAAATCTTGACAATGACATTACATCACGATCAAGCAATCTGAATGAGGAAAGTCAAAAGCTTATTCTCAAAAAATAAAGGTACAAGTATTTCAAAATTACTGATACAGCCCTTTAGAAATAACACTGTTCATAAGCAAATGTTGATCTGTTCATAATTCTATGACTGAATGTACTAGTTTTAAATATACAAGGAATTCCATTAGGTTTAGATAAATTGAGAGTACAAGTAAAACTTTTCCAGGCTATTTAATCAAGTAACTTACAATGTACACATACACATTCCTGAGAATACCCCATTGTAGTGACATTGTTTCTTTCCGAATTTTTCTGCATTCAGCTTAAAAGGTGTTTCTTCCCAAGAAACTGAACTTTTCTGTCAAATGCACTTGATCGAATAGGAGAATTGGGTTCATAAAATGGATTCATTGCAAACTAGGAAAAAAGAAGGTATTAGTGAGTTTGTCAGTGAAAATAGACAAATCATAAATCTCTAAAAGGAAACTATTTTCAAGTTTTAAATTAAATCAAAGACATTCAAAACAAGTATTTTTAATTTTCAGTGCAAATACTTCATTGTTAAATAGTTAACTTCCCCCTTAAGGAGATTTTTGTCTAGGTGTTTTACTTTTGAGAAGTACCTATGGCAAAACTGATGGTGGTATAAGGGTTTCCTACTCCTATGTAAGCGAAATTAACTTTCAGGATTTCACCGTGTGTGTGGAATACTAATCTACCTATATTAATTATAAGTATATGGATTAATCTGTAAGGCCCTTTGGCTACATAAAACAAAGTAAAAATCTGCCATGTGCTCAGAGTTAAGGAAAGGTTATATACCACAGATATTAAAAGTTACTCTTGTGGTAATTTTTTTACCATCAGTTTTTATAATACTTTCTCCCTTAACACAAGGCTCAGCTAACAAGAGTGGGTCATAACATGTTAAATTATTAACAATAAATGGAATCACTAATAAGGAAAATAGTTAACTTTTACACTTTTTTTTAAGTTTGTAGCAGAGGATAGTTTTATTAGAGCAACTTTTATACTTTTAATCACTTTGTCCATCTTTATGAGAGGGCGAAATATTCTTATTTGCTACTTCTGACTAGGAATATTGTTAGCTCTGCTGATATGCAAAGAATCTTATCCAAATACAGAACATTTACATTACTAAGGACATACTGTTGTTAGCACTGCAGTTTAACCACTGACATCCTATACTATTTTACTTTTTACAATTAAGTATCAAGAGATGTAGATGGCACCATTCTCCTTGAGTGACTTTGATAATATATGATTCACTTCCTGCTGGCTTATGATCTATATTCATTGCACTGTAACTTATTTGTAAAATAGATGGAAAACATTTTAGATTAAAATTATGAAGTGATTTCCCCTGTGTAGACTGCCTCCTCTCTTTAGGGTTCCCTAATAAAAATCAACTATATACACCAAAAGGGGGAGAATGAAATCGATTTAAAAATAACCATCTTGAGCTGTTTTCTTAAATACGGTACATGTTAACCTGGCGGTGAAGACTTTCCTGATGAGGGAGCTGCCAGAGATAGTTCTGACTGGAGGAGAGCTCATCTAAGATGAAAACTGTAGTATAAGGGAGTTACTTCAATAGGCCAGTTCCCTGCCAAAGTCTGAGTCCCTTGAGATAATTATTTAAGAAGTTATAGAACAGGCGGGCCGAGTGGCGTGGTTAAGAACTGGCTTGGGACACCAGCTCTGAGCAGCAGGGCCCCGGTTCGGGTCCCACATGAGGGCCAGTGACACTGCCCTCTACAGCTAAGATGGTGAACAACAGCTCAACCTGGAGCTGGGCTGCCGTGAGTTGCCGGCAACGGTGTAGGCTGCAGCCCCTGCGGCAGTGGGTTGCCATAAGCTACCGTGTGGCCGGCAGCCAGCGTGAGCTGCCAAGAGCTGCTGTGAGCGGCCGTCCAGAGACGGGTGACCGATCTGCCTCACCCAGGAAGAGCGCAATGATAATACCAACATGGGCCAGTGAAGCGACGTCCTCCACAATTAGACTGAAGAACAAAAGGACAGCAACTTGTCTGTTCCCCTCCCCCAATTCCCCAATAAAATCTTAAAAAAAAAGTTATAGAACATACCATACCTTTATGTATAAATCATAGACATCAGTAAAGAAGTTCTTTATTCCATCTTCTTGCCTTATGTCATGAAGCATAATAAATCTCATATGTAAGATAATTAAGGCATAATCTTTCTTAGAAATGAAAACTGAAAAGCAATCAGTTGATAAATATCCTTCAAATTAGTTACATGCAGTGTATTTTGCAATGGAAAAGTTGAATAATAAACTGGGTTCAAAGTTAGGTTAGTTTTATCTTAAAGAGAACATAATCTTTTTAAGTTAGAAAATAAGTACAAAATAAAAAAAATAAAATCCCTGTAAATGGCAATTTTTACCTGACACTTTGAAATCTAGACTCAGAGCCTGGCGTCTATGCCCCATGTTCTAGTTTGTTACCCCAACCTTTTAGTTAGATGGCTTTATTAGAAAGGTAAGGATATGACCTGCAGTAACAAATGCTGAAACAAACCACTCATTGAACTTGTCCACAGTTTTCAAGTACATGTTGTTTGACAGCCACATATTCTCATCTACAAGGTCAAGGGCAGCGTGAGCTATGAACTGGTTCAGATGACGATGATCGTCCTAGATGACAGTGAGAGCAGCACCAGGTTAACTTTTCCACAGAGCATCAAGAAAGCCAACATTTCATTCTGTAAATTCTATACATAGTTTTTCTTGTAGGGAGGAAAGGACTTTCTGCTTTTACTTCGCTTACTGTCGTCATCACACTTATAAAAGATCTTCAGTGTTTTCACATCATATTCTGTTTTTAAATTTGGTATCTAAAACTCAAATAGAAACCAATTATATTATTTATAATTGTAATAATAAATGTGTTCAAGAAACTAGATTATTTCAATTTTGCAAGAAGGAAGTTCCCAAATTCTGTACCCATTTAAGCATGTGAAAAAAGAATACATTTAAAAACAAAAGTATTGTAGATCTTCTTTTCAGGACGCTTGTATCTTTTTTATAGGAAGACAGGGAAAAGGCCTAAGTGGTTACAGAGGGCAGCTTAGGTAAGCTGGGGCTGAGCCACAGAGGTGCTGTTGGCACAAGCTGGGGCAGGAGTGGGGGTGAGGGGTGGGGTGTCATGTGCAGTGACCTCTGGTGAACAGTGGAGACAGATGAGGTGGCACTTCTAAAGGCTTGGCATAGGCCTCTGTCAGGTGTAAGGAGCTTACACGGCAGTGGGACCTGGGAGGCAGTGGCAGGAGGCCATGCTCAAACCCAGCTGTGAGCAGTCACCTGTGTGATGGCAGGAGACAGTCCTGTCAGAGCAGGGAGTGTTCTTTGCATGGGCCGAAATGGCTTCACTGGAGAAGGTGGGAAAGTCCCACCATAATGTAAAGAGGGAGGGAATACACAACCTGAATGCAGTCTTACTCCTGTGGAGTTACACTTTCAAAGTGCATTTTTCTTTTCTTTTTTTTATTGTTAGTTTCAGGTGTACAGAACAATACAATAGTTAACCTTTTCACCCTCACCAGGTAACAACCCCCCTCCCCCCCATCTATTGCCCTTCCATCCCCGATATCATGCTTATCTATTACAATTCCATTGAATCCGTTCCCGCTCTCTACTCCATGTCCCGAGACTATATGTATATATAATTATAGTTGACATACAGTATTATTCAACATCAGTTTCAGAAATACAATGCGGTGGTCAGGCCTCTACATTGACTATGAAGTGGACTCCCCAAAAGGACATGGGTCCATCTGGCCCCCTAAGAAATACTTATATTATAGATTATATTCCTCGGACTGTCTTTTTCTATCCCTGAGGCCATATTATAATTACTAATTTGTATTGTCTCATCCCTTCCCCTTCTCCTTCATCCCCACCCCCTCCCAACTAACAACCCTCAGTTCTTCCTCTGTGTCTCTGAGACTATCTCCATCCACTTCTCCCATCCATTCAGTTCCTTAGAATCCACGTATAAGTGCGATCATATATTTGTCTTTCTCTGACTGACTTATTTCATCAAAGTGCATTTTTCAAAGAACACCTCTGTTCTGGGTTGAATTGTGTCTCCCACCAAATGTCTACGTGGAAGTCCCAACCCCCAGGACCTTAGAATGTGGCCTTATTTGGAAAGAGGGTCGTTGCAGATGGAATTAGTTAGCATGGGGTCAGGCTGGAGTAGAGTGGGCCCCAATCCAACATGACTGATATATTTATAAAAAGGGGAAATTGGGACAGACACACAGAGAGAACGCCATGTAAAGGTCCAGTTCTGCGACTACAAGCCAAGGAACTACCAGAAGCTGGGAGAGGCCTGGAACACATGCTGCCCTGGTGCCTTCCGAGGGGGCATGGCCCTGCGCCACCTTGACCTCTGACTTCTGGCCTGCGGAACTGTGAGAGAACACGTTTCTGTTTTCCTAAGCCACCCAGGCTGCGGTACTGTTACGGCAGCCCTAGGAAACTAATCTAGCCTCTTTGCTGAGGAGGATGAGGGAGGCTGCCTGGTGCCCCAGAACCCCTCGCACAGCTCAAGCACGTTCACTTCATTCCTGTTGCCATGACCCAGCCAATGTAATCCTGAGGGAAATGGATGTAGTCTGTGTCTGGCTCACAGCAGCATTTTCTATTACTTTCAACTGATGATCAATCTTGAGAGAGTAGGAAAAAACTGTAGAAATGTTTTAAGGTGAGTGGTAGCAGGACAAAGAACTAAGACCAAGTCATGCGACGAAGTGTTTTTCTCTGCACTGCTTTTCCAACTGCCAGGCCACCGGAGGGCACAGAAACTATATTTCAGGAGCTGTGACTACTGCTACACAGATGCCTCAAACCCAAGCTTTAAAGAGCAGTGTGCTCATAGGAGTATGGGAAAATAATGTAGGATAATCCCTTCAATCTCTGTATTTTAGTGGCAAGATTCGGACAGTTGAAAAGCATCATACACCGATTGGGTATTACACATTACAATTAATTTCAAAAACCAATTCCTGTCTTAAAAGACATTAAGTTGGGCCGGCCGAGTGGCCGGTTGGTTAAGAGCTCACTCAACAGTGCGAGCTCTGAGCAACAGGGTCGCCGGCTTGATTCCTGGCCCGAGCTGAGCTGCCACTGAGCTGCCAACAGATGGCAGGATGGCTCAGCTTAAAAAAAAAAGGCATTAAAGTTTATTTTTGGAGGTTGGGAGGAATCCAGCATAACTTGTCAGTAATTAGGAACAGGACAGAAAGATGGAAGGGACCCAGCTGTTCTCAAGACTGTAGGGCTCTGTGTACTCTGAATGCCGACATGCTCTGGAACCAAGCTTGTTTTTCTGGAACCATTCTTGACAACAAGGAAGCTGGGTGTGTCACTGGGGAGGAGAGCATATGGGCACCACCCAGCCTGCAGGTAATGCAGGAGGCCACTACAGGCTGTGGCAGTCTCGGGCAGCAGGAGCACATTAAGTACAGGTCTCCTTTAACCCTCCCAGGTGGCTCTATTATGGATGTTCCAATGAAAAATGATTTGCTGGGAATCGAATGGGTTTTCATGGCATTTCAAGCGGTGATGACTGTTCTTCCAGACCCACTACAGGTGGACCATGTTCTTATGTGCCTAAGGGGTCCCTTTTCATAGCGGGTGGCGCAGTGCACTGAAGACCAGGGAACAGACCCAGAGCATCCCACTAGTATGTGTTAAGTGTGTGCTGACTGAAAGGATGAATGAACAATTCAGAGGACGTTCCCTGGCTGGCCTGTATCAACCCGTGGGACTATGGAGCAAGCCTCGTTTAATTGTGATGGATTCCAGTTACCTCATCCTTCCAGATCTCTTCTAGCTCTAAAATCATATTACACCATGATCATTACAATAGCGTAACAATTATTACAGAATTTTTTAAGGTTCCATACGCACTTTGGATTCTGCTTTTCCAGCGGGCAAAAACTCCATTTCAAAAACTGGATTATCATGGTGGCCAACAATTACAAAGTAGAAGCTTCCAGACATTGTCTTCAATATGTGTAGCTCCTAATTGAATGAAAATACGTGTTTTTAGTACTTAACACTGAAAACCAAAAACCATTAACGGGAAGTCTAGAACTCAATTTTTTACTTAACCCTGAAATTGCAGAGAAGGCCACAAAACTTGGCTTGCTTTCCAGTATCCTACCATAGATATAAGGCTGTTGGACTATATACATTATATACCTGTGATGTGTACTGTAGAATCCCGTAGTATATTTTCAGAGGGAAATGGGAAGACTAATATGATATCATGAAAACCAACGTTCTCATGATCTGCAAGTCTGCAGCATTTAGGGCAAGCTGGGCTGCACTTGGACTGGACCCATCAGCATTAGCAATGACACCTGCAAAGGGTAAAAAAGGCTGCTGTTTAGGAAATAACCGGCTTGCCTTGGAAATTTCCAGAAGGCACACTTCTGAGAAAGCTAGAACTCTACTTTATATCATTTACACGAAGGGGAGATACTATAGCACGTCTCTCCTTCTTCCTCCCTGAAGTATGTATGCTACAAATGTAAGTCTCTGCAAATAGAAGAACCTATGACACATCTCTTCAAACACGATGTATGAGAAAGGAGGAAAGGTTTTGTATTCTAGAAAAGATGGAAGAAGTCATAATCCAAAAAGGAAGAAATTCTGATGCATTAAGAGTACTTGGAACTAGGTTTAATAGGTTTGGTAAAGAAATAAAACTAAGAGAAAGTCAGGGGAATCAGTGATTCTGTGGTTTTCAGCACACAATCAAAATCAAGATGGACGAATGGATGGATGGATACATTTCTGTGTTTTTAGCACAGGGTGTTTGCAATCAGACAAAGCTAGGTTGAAGTCTAGCTGTGCCACTTACTAGAAATGTGACCACTGAAGAGTTCTTAATCTGTCACTCCCAATGTGTTTCCTCCTCAGTGACACAGAAATAATAATTGAGGCAACAATCGTAGCTGCTTTAGGGTGGGCTTGAGGGTTACACAAGCTAATGCTTGTAAAGCACCCAGCGGTGTCTGGCTCGCTCACAGGAGGTGCTCAGTAAATGTTATCTAGAACATGGAAGAGCACATGCACTCGGAGATGTGGTGACTAGTAAGGCTCCACATGCGGCGGGAGTCTGGATAACCGGGAGTGTACAGTCTCGGGGCACGGACAACTGAGGTGTGCCAGAGCCCAGGGAGCATCACGCCTCGCTGGGACTTCCGCTGACTCACACAGATCACGCAACGAAATCCGAAGACATCTGAAATGTATTTCCTGATGAATAGAACATGTTGTAAAGGAAAGCAGGGCACAGCTAGCACTTTTAACTCTGGAACTGGAAGGCCGTGTCCACAAGAAAAGGCAGACAGGAGACTCTCTTGGCACGATGAAATAGGATTTAAAATGTGACATGGGGCAGGGGTGGGCACACCACCGCCCGCAGGACAAATTGGGCCTCAACCATCCTTTCACTATCATCTAAGGCGGCTCGTACCTGACAGTGGCAGAGCTGAGCAGTTGTGACAGAGACCATCCAGTCCTTTATAGAAAAAGCTGGTCCCTGTTTTAGTGGAAAGATGAGAAAAAGGCCTAAATAGTAAAGCTGGATAACAAAGACAAGCAGCAATGATACACAAGCTTTGCAAAATTAGGAAAACAGGCAATAATTCTCAAGAGGAAGGGAGGGGAAGAGGGATGGGAGCTTGAAATTTTAACAAAGTCAACAATGATGTCATTCATTTGTGCTTGCATAGGTTTCATAGCTGGAGTTTGCCAACAAAAGGGCTTACTTTCTTCAGCACAAACATTCCAGCAGCAGCAGAAAAAATAATAAGTTAGATACTTCCCTGCCGCCCCTCGCCCACACACACACATTTAAGCAGCAGCAGAAGACAATATATGAAAGGAAGATTACCCCCCCCCACACACACACACACACACTCACCCTATATGGAAATCCACAACTGGGAGAGAAGGCAGCACTAAGTACAGTGTAAGGATCAACAGAAAGGGGACTGAAGGAAATACCGCATAAGTTATATCACAAACTACCCAGCTGGGCAGAGCCTGAGCTGCCAATAATTTGACTTCACAAACAGCTGAAGAAGGGAAGGAACTACTCAATTCTGATAAGGACAAACTGAAAGGTAATGTGCAAGGAAAAGGAAACCATATAACCCCCTTGTCTCACGAAGGGAGTATCTACAATCATTTAATATTTGAGGGCTTACTAAGCTTAGGTAGTGGGCAAAGGGGAGACAAATTCTAGAATTCTGTGTTGTCCTATATACCGAACTTTCTGCGAGAATAGAAATGTTTTTACCTGCGCTGTCCAAGGTGGTGGTAGCCACTGGTGGCTAAGGAGCATCTGAAATGTGGCTATTGTATTGGACAGTGCAACTCTAGATCAATTTTGTTTTTTAAAGCTCTGCGACTTTCTCCACCTTTCGTCCACCCACAAGGTGTGGAGGTATGGAGGAGGTAGCAGCACAGAACTTGGCAATGGATTGACTGGGGGAATTGAGGATGTTTCCAGTATCTGGATGAGCTGATCAAGCAGAATATCAAGATGTGATGTATTCACCGAGAAAGGAAATAAGAAAGGACGAGGGATGAAAATGAACGTGACAATTCTGAACATGGGTGGTAGCCAGAATAGCCCTCATGCCCCCACCAAGATGTCCACATCCTAATCTCAGGTACCTGTGAATGTTAATTCACCAGGCAAAGGGGAATTAAGGCTACAGATGGAACCAAGGTTGCTTATCAGCTGACCTTAAGATAGGGAGGTGAGCCCGGATAACCCAGGTGGGCCCCATGCAATTACAGACGCTTTAAAAGTGGATGAGGGGGGCCGGCTGAGTGGCTCAGTTGGTTAAGAGCTCGCTCAAGAGTTTGAGCTCTGAGCAACAGTGGTTCGAGTCAGCCCAAGCTGAGCAGCCGCGGAGCTGCCAACAGGTGGCGGGATGGCTCAGCTAAAAAAAAAAAAAAAAAAAAAAAAGTGGATGAGGGAGGCCTGAGAGGAAGTCAGGGGAAAATGGACTTCGAAGGATGGTCAGGAGATGCAGCTGGCTTTAAAAACGGCGAAAGGGATGAGTCGCGGAATTCGGGTGGCCTCTAAGAGCTGGAAAGGACAAACGGTTTCTTCCTGAGAGTCCCCAGAAGGGAACACAGCCCTCCTGATACCTGGACTTCAGCCCAATGAGACCGTCCTACAGCTTCTATCCACAGAACTGAAAGGTAATACACGTCTGTTGTTTTAAGCTACTACATATGTAGTAATTTGTTACAGCAGCCATAGGAAACTAATATACATTTCAAAGCTGAGAAAAACCCCGGCAGGTATGAGAAAAAAGGAAATATTCAAGGACGTGTCAGCAAAAAGGTAGAAGGTGCATTCTATCAAGCGAGTGGGGGCAAAGGGAGTTCATTTAACGTGGGACGTGGGTTTCAAAGCGCTCTGGACGAAGTTGGGGAGGGGGCAATGGTGTGTCAAAATGAAGCTACTTAGAGCAATATGGCAATGAACGTATGGAAAAGAACGGGCTGGGGTTTTTTTTCCAACCTGTATCCCCAACACAGAGCCCAGTGCTTAATAAGAGCTGTGTTTGCAGACTGGAACTGCAAAAATGGTGGGGACTGTAGTTTGGACAGGATGGGAGGACACTGGAATACAGAAAAGGGGTGCAGGAACGACAGGCGTGGTGGGGTGAACTAGCCCAACAGGCTTCGACTTTTCAGTGCCAAGGCCCTCAGGGTCTCAGGCCTCGCTGATAACGTCTGTTCAAGTGATTAACAGCACCTTTGTGAAAAGCCGCTGACGTCTTTAAGGTACATATAAAGAAATCCTCCATTACAAGGGACAGGGCTTCTTAGCTGAAAGGAGGGGAGCCAGGACTCTCACCTGTGGTGAAAACAGCAGCTGTCTCCGGTGGCTAGGGTGACGTGAGTTGCTTTTGAGAGAGACAACTAAAGAAATCAATGTGGTGACACAAGGAACTCTGGACCACTTTGAACTCCAAGATATGTGTACACAATGTAAGAAGTAGGGCACTAATAGTAATGAACATGAAAATGGGACCTGGGACCAGAAACCTGTGAGGCTAGCATCAGGAGGGCAAAAGCCCAAAATGAGCTGAAATGCGTGCAATGTGGTGAGGAAAACAGCCTTTTTAGGCACCAGCCAGGAAAAAGCAAGGAAGAAGGGTCAGCTGCTTCAAGCACCTGGTGAGCCCTTAACAAGAGGACGCAGATCCGCTGAACTTCAATTTCCTCAGAGAATGACTTGCAAGTGTGGAAGAAACAAGGTCAGGCAGGCGGTGAACCTCAACATAGGTATATTTTTTAAAAATCTAGACATTTCAATAAATAGAAGTCTTCCGGTTTCAGCAAACTACCTTTCTTGGATTAACAAAGGATTGTATATCTAGTGATTAGTGACATGAGAGAAGTGGCAGGAACAGAAAAGAGCCATACCATCAGAGATACGTAAGTGTTATTCCTATTCCTGGCAGTCACTACCGGCTGCCATTAGGACCGGCTCAGGAGAGGAAACCCATTTGCCATCCGTAGTCAAATCCCTTTTCCATTAGCATATTTTACACACACACACACACACACACACACACACACACACTTTTTTTAAAAAGAAATTTTACTGGGGAACAGTGTGTCTTTCCAGGGCCCATCAGCTCCAAGTCAAGTAGTTGTCTTCAATCTAGTTGTGGAGGGCGCAGCTCCGCGGCCCATGTGGGAATCGAACCGGCAACCTTGGTGTTATGAGCCTACGCTCTAACCACCTGAGCTAACCAGCTGCCCCCAGACCGCATATTTAAAGATAAGATTGTGCTGTACACCATCCTCCCCAAAAAAGGTCTACCCCCTCCCCTCCACCAAGTTCCTTCAGTAGCTTTCCTTCAGAAACAAAAAGGCATATCTCCTTAGTCTATAATTGGGGACTTTGAAAGAGATTAAAAAAAACACTGACAGAAAAATGTATTAAATGGCTGTCTTTAGTCAGACACCATACTAGTAGCTTTTATTATTCCATTAACTCATTTAATGTGAATCTCTGGACAAAAATAGAGGTTATTAATCATTCATATACTCCTGGCATGAACAAGTCATGCCAAGCTTACATTTTCTGTTTTGCAGGAAAATACAGGCGACAATAAGTCATTTTAAGAAGTAATTTGGTATCTATCTGAAAACAACTAGAGACCTGTACCCTGGATGATAACAGAGTCTGTGGTATCCCCAGAGCTACAACAGTGCTGGAGCCCAGGAAGCACTCATTCTATGTTGAATAAGGAACACAACTCACAGCTGATTTGAATGTTAACAAAGTGCTCCATGTCAGCTGACAGCACAGGGTTTCTAGGGAACTCTGAGGTTGACCTTAACCTAGTGCAGCTCCACATTTTAATCAATAACTGTGAGATGAGGCCAACTTATCACATTAAAAGATAACACGCCAAAGGCAGCTAATTTATTAGAAGGCAAAAGTCAGGATTCAAAATTATCCCCACTGCTACAATTAAGTGAAATTAACAAAACAGAATAAAGAAATTGTAAAATACAGTCCTATACTTGGGCTTGAAAAAAACACAATAATAGGATGAGGAAAACCGAGTTTAAGAGTTCATCTACAAGAACCCAAAAGTTGTCAGTTCTTGCAGGCTCACTAAGAGGCAGCAGCAGTCTGATACAGTGGTCCAAAAAAAGCAAATGCAATTCTAGGCTGAATCAAGAGAAGACAATGTCCTCTTTCCTAATATCATTATCTCTGAGGAATGTTCTGGGAGTCTCATTTTAAAACAATCATAACTGGACTGTGTGTTGCGAGAAGGGCAGGCTGTAGGCTGGAGAAGGCTCTGGAAAAAAGCCACTGAAGGAACTGAGGATGTTTAAACTGAGGGGGTGAGACCTTCTTGGGGGGGAATGGTGTACAGCACAATCTTTAATTTTTTAATGTTGTTATTAGTTTCAGGTGTACAAAACAATGCACTAGTTATCCTTTTCACCCTCACAAAGTGACAACCCTTTCCTCCCACCCCCGATATCATATCAATTACAATTCCACTGACTCCATTCCCACACTATACTCCACATCCCATGATTATATATGTATTAAATTATAGTTGACATACATTATTATTCAACGGCAGCTTCAGATGTACAGTGCAGTGGTCAGGCCTCTATACTGTCTATGAAGTGGTCTCCCTAACAACAATCTCATTTTTAAATATAACATGCTGTCTAATGGAAAAGGGATTTGACTACAGATGGCAAATGGGTTTCCTCTCCTGGGCCAGTTCTAATTAACCCCTTGGGTACCAATTTATTTGAAAAAAATTTCGCATATGGAACAGATTTAATTTTTTTGGTACTTGGAGTAATATGTAAAAGCAGATTTTATGTAAATTCATTTCTAAAAAAATCAGTGACATACATAGTATTGAGATGACTTCAGGTAATTAGAATTGCAAAACAAAAATAAATAAAACCCCCACAAAACTAAAACAAGTAAATTCAAGGTATAACAAAAAGCAAATTACTAATAGTTATGAAGAGTATGGTATTTTTCAAAGCAAGCAGGTAAACGCAGTGGCACTTGGCATTGTTTGCCCTGCCAGGTAGTCTCTTTCCTAATTTTATGTTTATAATAAACACGGCACCTTTTTGTAGGGTGTTGCTTGGATTCAGTTGATGGACTATTCTCAGGAAAGTGTGCCCAATTTTTCGCCTGCAAATGAAAAGGTGTATCGCTATTTGAAGGACGTCCACGACAATTATAATTTGGCAATGACACTTGCCAGTAATTGTTCAGCAATAGGTAGACGAAAGCAAACAATGCCTGTTTTGGTTTTAGAATATAAACATGTGCATTATAAAAGGCTGTCTATTAGATAAAAAAACATTTTCTTATATCCCTTTACACATTTTCTCGTAACAGGGAAGCCATCATCTTCATCATGTTCACTTTGTATTTCACTGTAATTGTCATGGATAGGATCACTAAAAAATTCTTTATCAGATTGCTCAAAGTCACTTTCATTAAAACTTCCGTTATCACTTTCATAAAATATATTCTTTATTTCTGACATTATGGGGCAGTGTATCGCAAACAAGTTTCACCGAACACTGTAATTATGTTGCAACTGATACAAACTACTCTAAAATAAACAAGAATGTGCATATTAAATACTGTCTTAAATCGAATACTCTTCATCTCGCACTTAGGCAAAGCAAGTGCATGACGAGTCTCAGTCGTCAAATGTACCCAAGGGGTTAACTGCTAGTGACTGCCAGGAACTGGTGCTGAGAGATTCTGAGACTAAGTGCAGTTGGCAGGAAAGACGGCTGTGATCAATTATCCACTGCTACCGGCTTTGGAGAGGGCAGTTGTCTACCTGGGTGCCAAGTATTTGCTCATTTTGCCACCATCCAAATCCTACTCATCAAGGCCCAGATGAAGGTGTACTGTTTCCACAGAGATGTCCCTGCTTGCTTCCATCTTCGACCACCTCTGCTTTTTCTCAATTCTTGACTCCGTGAACAATGCATCTTCGTTCTTATCCAATTCTCTGGCTGTAATGTTTTCATTATTGCTTCTGGAGAGACTGGTTCCTTTTCCAATTAGATTTAAGCATCTTAGAGACCCGGTTCGCCTTTATCTTCCTCACAGCATGCAGAAACGGTTGGTACTAAAAGTTTAGTTCACTGATTTTTCAACCAGGGGAGATTTTGCCTCCTAGAGGACATGTGGCAACGTCTGGAGACATGCACGGTTGTCACAAGTGGTGGGAGGTGCTGGCGCATGTAGTGTGCAGAGGCCAGGGATGCTGCTAAACACCCTACAGTGCGCCGGGCAGCCCCCACAACGAAGAATTTTCGGGCTCCAAATGGCTAAGAAGCCCTGGGTTAGCTGGGTGAAGTAGTGAAAGGCAAAAGCTGCAAAGCCCCCCGAGCTGGTGGAAGTTTGCAGGTTAAAACGCGGTGTGGACTGGCTGCGTGGGCTGTGATGGGCTCAGCAGCAGGGCAATGGCAGGGTTGGGCCCGGCTGACCTAGGCCGGAACATGGTGGAGACACAAGGCCTACACACCGGTCACGCGGGGCCCGGGACGTCCCCGGAGCATGCTCTCCCCCTTCCCCCCCAGTTCCATTCCCTACCTGAGCCGAGACGCCAGCAACGGAAATATGCAGTCAGTTGCTGCGGCAGCGACCCGCGCTCCGCAGTTTCAGCCGGGACTCCCTGAGCAGCCTTCGCGAGACTCTGCGGTTACGTTCTCGCGATCTGTAGGCGGGGTTTCCGGTTCCAGCAGCCGCAGCCCTGCACTTGCGCTGTAGCGCTCCGGCTAGGGTGGCTCGGCTGGGCTGGCTCCAGGAGGGGGCGGGACCGGTTCTGAGCCGGTGGAATGCCTTGCTGCCTCGCCTTCTCCAGCGCCTCCTCTCTCCGGCTCGGCCCTCCAATCGCAGGTGAGAGTCTTGAGGCCACGATCCCGCCCACCCATGGGAACCACGGAGACGGAAGTGGCCGCCTTTCTCTGACCGGGTTCTTAGTTCGGAGTGGGAGGCAGAGCGTTCAGATCCATAGTTCCTCCGGACGCCTCCGAACAAAGGCAGGACTCTGAGCGCAGGGATTCCCACGTCCTGGGCCTGCAGCCCGGGCTGGGTCACGAACTCGGAGTGGGGCGGAGCTGGCTTGGGAGGATGCAAGCCCTTGAGGGCTCCATGGATACCAAGGTCCCTCCTCGGGGAGGGGCGGAAATGTAGCCTCTTGTTTGTTTTGGTTAAAGCTCCTTTCCCCGCCCGGCTCTTAGGGCTTCCCTGGAGGCCAGCCACGAGTCTGTTTGTTTTCAGAAATTCATGTCCTGTCCACCCGCCAGGTAACCTGCAATCACTTTCTTTTACAGTCTACCATGCCCCCCAAATCTGATGTGTTGAGTCAAGATGAGCTACGCAAAAAGCTGTACCAGACGTTTAAGGATCGGGGTATACTGGACACGCTCAAGGTATCAGTTCTAGGCATATCCGTTGTATAACTTTTACAAGTGTAACCGGTAACAGGCAGTCCACATTTAAATCCATCCAGGTCTTGGGTTTTAAAAGTAGTATGATATATAGAGTGTATTGGTGACAGTAGTCTCAAACGGTTTACTTTGAGTAGTCTTAAAAGAACAGATTGAAATAATAGATTGATTGAACTGACATTGAGATAGGAGTGGGTAACGTCATAAAGTGAACACCTTTTAGCGAGATTAGGCTTGTTTTATAAACCTGGCTTATAAGTTCCTGAATTAATAATTAATTAGTAATAGGAACATTGGAATGAAGGACATTGACACCATATAGAAAACATTAAGTGTACATTAAGTGTACTGCTTACCATAGGATAGTTTGGGGAATGCGAACTCCCTTTAATATATTGAAAGGTATGAATACTGAATTTGGGTAGCAAATACTTACAAGGACACTATATATATAAATTAACAGCAAGGAGTAGGATTAGCTCAAACGGGTTTTCATTACTATGTACATTTCAGAAGTATATTTTACATTTAAAATGGGAAGTTAAGGAAAAGTGATTTTTTTCTTCTTTTTTTGTTCTCCCTCCCCCGTTGTTTTTGTAACTTAAAAAAGAAAAACCACTTCACACTTATCTGAAAACTACAGAAAAACATAAAGGAGAAAAGCCATCTCTGATACAACCACTAGCTGGCATAATGGGTGTGTGTGTGTGTGTGTGTGTGTGTGTGTATGTGTATGTGTATGTGTGTATGTGTATATCCTTCTTAGTTTAATATTATATAGTGAGCATTTTGCTGTGTCCTTAAAAGTTTCTTGAAATCCTCATTTTCAGTGGCACCAGGTTCATGTTTGGATGGATGGGTAATTTATGTAGGAGTTCCCTGTTGAATATTTAATTTGGACAGCAAATATTTATTAGTGCACTTCATATATGAATTAACAGCAAGGAGTAGGGTTAGCTCAAATGTTTTCATTACTATATATGTATTTCAGAAGTATATTTTACACTAAAATGTGGACTAGGTTATACCCAAGTTTACACATTCCTTTAATTATATCTCTTATTTTTTGCCTAGGATAGATTAAGTGGCATTACTTATGGTCCGGTAAACTCTTTATCCTGGAAAATCAAATCAAAGGGTATGAGCATTTTTTTTAAGGCTCTTGTTGTATGTGTCTCGTTCCAGAAGGATTGTAGTAATAGTTTATATTCCACCAGCAGTTTGAGGGTGCTTGTTTTACTCTAGTATTATTATCATGACATTTTAAAAACCAATCTAAGGTTGGAAAGCCCTTATATTATTTTAGTATTCATTCCTTTGATTATTGAGGTTGCAGATACTTTCTGGCCATTTGTATGTTTTCCGTGGATTGACCATTTATGTTGACCATTTTCCCCCTAGGGTCTTTTTAAGGTATCAGAGCTCTTTTAGTAGAAACTATTCATCTTTTTTCCATTTTTGTGACAATACTTTATCTTGCTATTCAATTTTAATTTGGCTCTAAAAATATTGATGTTATGTTTTTATGTGGTCAAATTTATTGATGTCTTTATTTTTGCTGATTATTCTCACTAAATTCTTCTCCACTAAGAGCATGAATATTCACTTTTAAGTTTTTAAAAAGACTTTATTTTTTATAGTTAGCACTTTAACCCACCTGGAATTAATCGTAGTGTCCACTGCACTAATACACTTTCTCATGTGGAATGGTCCTTGCATTTCTGTGCATGGCATATTTTCTTTTTTCCTGTCTTTCTGGATTAGATTTGCTACTATTCACATCTGTAGTCACAATTGATATTGGGCTAATCAGTATCCTTTTTGAGCTATCCTTGTTCAGCTTTGGTATCAGGATTATGCCAACCTTGTCCACTCTACAGCTGCAGTGTATTTTCGGGAGAAATGTTTGTTGTTTGCAGCAGGCTATTCAGTTTCTGTTATTCCAGCTTGGTCAATGGCAGGGTAGAGTTTTACTCAGTCTGAGCTAGTATTTACTTTATCAGTTCAATGACTGTGGCCTGGGTAAGTTCTAATTTTTAAAACTTATTGAATTTTTTAGTGGCCTAACTCATATTCTACTTGGGTGTTTAGAGGGAACTTGTATTTATGGTTAAGTACAAAGTCATAGATATCTATTAAATGAAGTTTATAAAACCTTTTTCTTATTTTGAGTTTACTCCATCTGTCAGTTTCTGAGAGAGAAGTGCTGAGGATCCCCAAGTCCCTTCTCTCCCACTTCCTCTCCCCCCACAATAATTGTACTTATTTCTGTCTTAGGGACATTGCAAGCTTTAATTCTGAATGGATTTCCCTCTTTGCATCGGCTGTTGGAAAGCCCCCAGCCAGTTTTGCAGTTCCTTCCAGCAAGTGCTAGATGCATGCTTTTTGTGTTTGTCAAGATGGGAATTTGTCTACAACGTCATTTCATTTTTTTCTACACTTATTTTCCTCTCACCCTGCTTATATTACTCATTTAAACTTCATCCTATTTTAGTATTTGTTTTCAAGACACCATCGATCTTATTATTTATTTATTAATGGAGCTGGATCTAAATATAGACTTCTTTTTAGTGTGTGACCAATCTAATTAAACCACCTCTAAATTTTACTGGTGGAGAATGCTGTAGTTTTTCTTTTCTTTTATTATTTCTGTTACTGAACTGTATTAGACGAGGTAGAGTATGTGTATTCTGTTCAGTGTAAATGTATTTTGTATTATAGGATTTTAGGTGTATAAGTCCTGTGCTATACTGGTAATTATGTACTGTTCTACTTTCTAGCTAAAAGATAGAAAGAGGTGTAAGAACTCCATTTGTTTCTTGCTTGTGTTCTATCAATACGAATACATTAGACATTATTTATTGCTGAATCCCATGAATCTAGGCAACAAACTCTTAAGCTCAACCCAATTGCATGTTTCCAGATTATATGCAAAATAGAATAAATATTCAGTAGTTCAATTAATTTCAGGATTATCTTAAAACCAAATGAATAATAACACTAGTGTTGTAACCTTGATAAAATTACTAACCTTGAATCTAAATTTCTTCATTTATAAAATGTGAGAAAATGATTGTATTTCATGGTGTCATGAGATGTAAATACTATATGTGAAAGTGCATCATGATAAGCCTTCTTTGGGTTTACTGATTTCTCTCTTGCATATGTTATTTCCCTTTTGGGAACCCAGTTTTCTTTTGATCAATATGCCCAATGAACTGGTTTCAGCCAATTTTGTTTTCATACCCTGCAACAATCCTCCGAGGGGTGAGGAAACAGCAGAATTTTCTCCTTTCCTGATATCCCGATCAAAAGCTGCTGATGGGCTGGCTCCTAGGGAAGAAGTTAGAGTCAACGTGCGCTCTGCCTAACCACCAGTGCACTTGGGAGCTGGTGAAAGCAAGCTGCTTTTTCCAGAACCCACTGGACTGCCTGTTTCCCAGGGTAAGACAGCATGTGCAGGGGAAGGTTCCAACTTCTGGCCATGGATCTGGAACTGCTGTGAAAATAAAAGGAAGGATTCTAATTCATGTGACAAATCTGTGTATCTCCAGTGCAACAATCCTGCTGAAAGTTTGTTCCCTCTTGTTTCTTTTCTGTTTTTGAGCTAGACTCAGCTGAGGAACCAGCTAATTCATGAATTGATGCACCCAGTATTGAGTGGAGAAGTGCGGCCCCAGTCCATTGCAGTGGAAGGGAGTGCCCTCTTAATAGGTGCTTCGAACTCTCTGGTGGCAGATCATTTACAAAGATGTGGCTATGAGTATTGCCTTTCTGTGTTCTTTCCAGAAAGTGGCTTGACAAAAGAAAAGGTAACGTCTTTCCTTCCTGTTGCTGCATTTTCTATTAACAATCTTTCCTTCCTGTTGCTGCATTCTCTATTAACAGCTTTGTCCTTGGGTAAGAGTAAAGTGCTGTGTAATAGCTGAGCATTCCTTGGCTGGCTGGGTCCATTTCTCAGTCATCTTAGAATTCGTATCATATATTTGTTATGTAATAACAAAGGAGTACTAAATTTGATATTGTGATTAATTCCTGGGGACTTGATTACCTTTTGTAAAATGGTAATGTGTAGAATCACGAAATATTTTGTTGCTAGAATTGATCCTACATTCCATGTAGTCGACTAAAGACGTGTAACTGCCATTGACATTGAATGTCTGTTGTGAGCTCTGCACTGTGCTAATCACACTGCATGTGTTATGTGTGTCACAGATGAGGAACCGGAGTCTGGAGAGGTGAGGTGCTTTGCTCAAGGTCACAGGGTTTCTAAGTGGTGACACAGGGCAGTAAATCTAGGTCTTTAAGATGTGCTCTTTTTCCTACTATGCCATAGTGTCTCTAGGTAGTCCTCTTCGTGGTTACATAAGAGAACTGAGAAATACGTTAATTTAAAAAAAAAGTCTGTGGCCTCAAATATTAATACATGGTTTACCACTTCTGATTAGTTTAACTATATTCCTCCACCATTACTGTTGAACATATTAGTCACACTTTATTATTTTAAAGGTAAACATAGCAAACTTACCCTTGTTTTTTTTGATAGACTTAGCTTTTTAGAGCAGTTTAGTTTTTTAGAGCAAAAAGGAGATTTCCTGTGTGTTCCGTGTCCCCACAGGTGCACAGCCTCCCTCATCAACATTTTTACAATCTATCAGCTACGTGGTCACATCTTTATCACCTTAAGTCCATACTTTACATTAGGGTTCACTCTTGGTGTTGTCCCTATGTTATTTTTACTCTTATCTGTAATTGTCCAAAAGTTTCATATTCTGAAGTTTTAAGAAAACGGTGTTAGTATTTGGAAATCTTAAAATTTAAACATGCTGTATTTATTCATTAACAACCAAATTTTTTTTATCAACATTAGGAATTCTTTTTTGGTCTATCAATCTCTTTAAGTTTCTAATTACATTTCACAGTTTTGCTTATTGCATGAATAATAGTCAGTTGTATAATTATTAGAGCAGTAATCTTGTTCACACAGTAATAAAAGGTTTTTATTACTATAAGATGCCATGCAGAATATTTTCTTTAAAGGAAAACCCATTGAAAATAAATTATATCAGCATTCTCAGGGTAGACATAGTAAATGATACACACTGTACTAGGAATATATATTAAAAATAGCTACCCGAAACAGTTGCTTAAAACTATTTTAGGTATACTTTAGTCATTCATACCTGTAAAAACTTAGTTTGTTTACATTTTAAAAGATTAATTGCAACTGAAAGACCCTGAAATTAACTCATGTATTCTTTGGTTCATCAGATATTTGAGTGTTTGTCACCTGTAAGGCATTAGCCATTTCTGTCATTTCTGTTAGGCATTTCATCTTCGATGTGAAGTATTTGGAGGTTAATTACGTGATCAAGAAAAAGATTTTATCATTTTGACCTCAATGTTTATTGTAATTTATTTAATAGTATAAGGAAGGACTTCAATTTTATATTTTAACATAATTATAATCTTTATTTACTCTGAAGCATGATTCTCAATCTTATATTCAGAAGCATTCTAATTTAAACATTGTTGTAAAAGTGTCTACTTAATTACTCCTTTTTTTTCCTTAAGGTATTTACTGTGCAAGATCTGTTACAACTCATTAAAATCAACCCTGAATCCAGCCTCTACAAATCATTGGTAGGATTGTTTAGTCTTTATAAACTGCTTTGGTTTGTTAATTATACTTGAATAGTTGAATGATGGTAAAATATTTTCTTTTAACAGATTTCAGGATTTGGTAGAGAAAACCAAAAAGGTAGGAGCCTTTATCTTTATAGAGAATAGCAACATTTTTGTCATGTATTTTTTCCTATAAAAGTGTGAAACTAGTAATTTTTAGGGGGAAGAGTAGGGAATTTCATTTGAATTAAAGCATTTGATTTTCCTTGCTGACAATACCTTACCTTTTAAAAGAACAATTCATCTATTGTTTTGACAAAATGTAGGTCATTTCCTCCAAATTCAATCTTTCCAATAGTTCTTAGATACTCAAATAAGAAAACTGCAGACAGTATCAAGAGCCCTACAAATGGTTTGAAAGATAATCTTTGTAAAGATACCCATTGTTTGGAACATTTTCACACACGCACGCACACACACACATGCACGCACACACACACACCAAACTAACATTTAGGCCAGGTATCTTTGTCTCCTTGATACCCCTTCAAGTACAATTTATAGAGTATTAGTATTTGCTTAAACAATGCAATATCTGCTCAGTAATAAGTGATATATGTGTGTATTTATTATGAAGTGTTTATATAGGTCTGATAAATTGCTTTAATTTTGGCCTTGATAATCACTTTCATAGAGTCCATAGCTACTATGAGACAATAAAAAATATATATATTGGTCTCTGGCCCCAGTTCCTGGCATGGATTTTGTCACATGAACATAAACTGGTAACTTTTCTGTAATACAGTGATTCTTCAGGTCTTTTAAAATAATCTGTAACATTATGTGATGGTCCTTTGTATGTGGCTCCTGGATTTTGTCTGTTGCCAGCATTACTACCACCCCCACTGGGCCATTCGTTCAGAACTTACCATCTGAGTACCTACTTTCTGCCAGCCGTCAGTTAGTGTGTGACTTAGTTGCCTGGTCTCTTGGGAGTAATGCTAGCAGAGGATAAGTAAATTGGATCCCAAGACATTCTAGACTGCCTGAAGAGTCGGTCGTCCATACTGAAGGTCAGGATGGCAAGTGATCTATATTCTGTATTCTAAGCTAGTGCCATCTAGTGTAATGCTCTGTGGTTATGGGACTGTATATCTCTGCTGTCTGATATGGTAGCCACTAGCTACCTGTGACTATTGAGCATTTGAAATATGGCTAGTGTGACTCAAGAATTGAAATTGAAATTGAAATTTACATAGTTACATGTGAGTAGTGGTTATCATATCAGACACCACAGATCTAAAGTATATCGCTGGTATCTGTAGCTTAACTGTTATTTCAGAAAGAAATTTAGGGCTTGAAAGTATATTAAGAAATAATTCACATACTTTTTACAGGCTTTTATATGATCCTTAAAAATAGCTTTTCGCCTTTACACACTCTCTTTAAATGCTTTTGGTTCAGAAAGACACCTAACAGCTCTTATCAGCTTCACCCAGCACCCTAGTAAAATTTCTGAAACTCAGAAAAACTATGATTAGCAGACATTTTAGGTATCCTAGTGGTAGTTTGGGTAGAACTCTTCACTAACAGTATAATAGCTGCCTTAAAAATGAAATGATTTCTTAAAGTAGTGGCTTCTAATTAAGAGATTGAGACAATCAGAAAACAGGAAGATATTTTGTACCTAACTGCTCTCTGTCCCTTCACAGGGACCTAGGGTCTTATCTTCGTATGTCTGGACTCCAAGGGTGCTGCTCATCTGTTGAATGGCCATAGGACTTTTCCCCTAGATTCCACTCACCCATCCTCACCCCGAATTTTTACTTGCAGAGATAAAGATGCCCAGAAAATAGCAGGCCAGGAAATATGGACACTGGTTCTTTGCTTTCTGGAAGTTAAATCCTTACCTGGGATTGGCAAAAAATAGATACATAGATCAGTGGGGCAGAACATAGAGCGCAGAAATAGATCTATACAAATACAGGCAACTGGGTTTTGACAAGGGCAAAGGCAATTCAATGGAGGAAGGATAGTCTTATCAACAAATGATGCTGAGACAATTGGATATCAGCATGCACAAAAATGAAACTAGACCTTACACCTTATACCAAAATTAACTCAAAATGAACCGTAGATCTAAATGTAAAATGTAAAAAACTAACACTTTTGGAAGAAAACAAGAGAAAATCTATGTGGCCTTGGGTTTAGTGATGGATTATAACACCAAAAGCATGATACATGAAAAAAAAAAAGGTCACTTAGACTTTATTAAGATTAAAAGTGTCTACCCTGTGAAAGACTTGAGAGAATGAAAAGATAAGTTACAAACTGGCAGAAAATATTGGCAAAAGACACATCTGATCAAAAATCCACAAGGTTCCTGCAACTGAAAAAGTAAATAAATGAAATGGCAGATGTAAAAAAATAAATACAAGGAACTTTTAAAACTCAACACTAAATAGACAACCCAATTTAAAAAAGAGCAAAGGATCTCAACAACCATCTCACCAAAAAAGATAGATCACAAATAAATGTATGAAAAGATGCTCAGTAACATTTGTCATTAGGGAGATGCAAGTTAAAACAACCATAAGCTACCACTTAAGGCTACATGCTATATGATTCCATTTATATGATATTCTGGAAAAAAGCAAAACTTTAGAGATGGTAAAGACATCATCGGGTGCCAGGGATTTGGAGGGAAGGGGTAAGAGGTTAAGTAGGTGAGACACGGGGAGATAGATATTTTTTTAAAGAAGTTTTATTGGGGAACAGTGTGTTTTCAGGACTCATCAGCTCCAAGTTGAGTAGTTGTTTCGATCTAGTTGTGGAGGGTGCGGCTCCGTGGCCATGTGGGAATCGAACTGGCAACCTTGGTGTTATGAGTCTGCACTCTAACCACCTGAGCTAACCGGCTGCCACAGCACGGGGATTTTTGAGGGTGGTGAAAGTATTCTGTATGATACTGTCATGGTACAACACACGGCACTAGACATTTGTATAACTTTACAGAGTGAACCTTCATGTATGTACCTATAGGAGGTCAGGTGATCCCAGGGTGGAATGCAGACCCACAAATCTAGCTGTAATAACCTCAGAGAAGGGGTTGGGAGGAAAAGATGCTAAGCTAACTATTGGGTCGTCGGGAGAGTCATGACGTGTTTTTCTATGCAAAAATGCATCATGACTTGCCCGACAACCCAATAACTTTGGAAATGAGTGCATACCAGAAGACTAAAGGCAGAAAGAACTGTATGTAGGTGATAGTCATTTCTCACAGGGGTACTGGTTAACGATTCCAAAACCATTGTACGTAAATGCTGGGACTGAATATGGATAGTAGACGGCAGGAGTCAGGGTTTTCACTGTTGGAGTGGGAATCTATAGACAAGGGGAGCAGGCTAGAATGATCCATGTGGTAATGGGCTGGTTGGAGACATCATTATGAACTCATGTTTCACTTAATATATATATGGAGATGACATATAGAGAGATTTATAGATATGTGTTCATATATTTCCCTGCTCTGCATCTTGAATATACATAAGCACTGACAAATTTCCCTCCAAAGTGAATGAGTGTGCCCACTTCTCCCCTGCCTGTCAACATTTATCAAAGTTTTAACCTTAGCAATCTTATTGGGAAAATAGGACCTCTCTGCTCTAGTATTACTTTGCATTTATTTATGATTTTGTTCATATTTATTCGGCACTTAAAATTTTTTTCTACAAACTCTTTGTCCACGCCTTGCCCCATTTTCCTACTTTCTTAAACAGCTTTTTGATACTATGAAAATGAGTCCTGTGTGTCTATATGAGAGCAAATACTTTTTTCCAGTGTATCATTTGTCTTTTGGCTTTATTTCATGCCATATGTAAGTTCTTAATTTTTTTTTTTAAGATTTTTTTTTAATTGGGGAATTGGGGGAGGGGAACAGACAAGTTGCTGTCCTTTTGTTCCTCAGTCTAGTTGTGGAGGACGTTGCTTCACTGGCCCATGTTGGTATTATGATCATTGCGCTCTTCCCGGCTGAGGCAGATCGGTCACCGGCCATTGGATGGTGGCTCACTGCAGCCTACGCCATTGCCGGTGACTCACGGCAGCCCAGCTCCAGGTGGAGCTGTTGTTCACCATCTTAGCTTAGAGGGCGCAGCATCACTGGCCCTCATGTGGGATCTGAACCGGGGCCCTGCTGCTCAGAGCTCACGCTCCCAAGCCAACTCTTAACCAGTGAGCCATTCAGCCGGCCCTATAAGTTCTTAATTTTTATGTTGTTAGATTGATAAATATTTCTACTTACCGCTTCCGGATTTTTTGTGTCATGCTCGGAAGGGACTTCCCTCAGAAATTATTCTTTAAAGATGCATAGTGTAAAAAAGGATAATGTTATAAAATCAAGATTATATAAACAGTGACTGAGCAATGGTTGAATGAAAGAAAGTTGTGAGACAAAACCCTATACATGTGTTTTCCAGGTTTCCTCATGGAGTTTCTAAAAGAAATAGCAGCCTATCATCAGGCCAAAGAGATCTATGATGTGGGCACTCAGACAAGTCCAGCACTGCCTAGCAAAGACTCCCTTGGTAATTGTAGCCTTCTTTCGTGCCTTCTTCTGTAGTTTCAGTTCTTCTGTTTCCTCTTTGAATGAAGGGAATGACCTGCTTTACCATGCTATGTGTGTGTGCCTTGACCGGGAGTGATGCAAGCTGCAGGCGGCAGGGGCGCTCGTTGTCTCCGGCGTCACTGCTGGAAGGGACCAGGAGCTTCCTGCCCTGCAGGGCTGCAGCTCCCTGCATGACTGCCAGGGCTGCGTCTTCCAAAACTCCTGGGGATGCAAAGACCCACATTCTTGTTTGTTGGGTTGAACCTCTCAGCGGGGAGGTTCTTCCCTGTGTCTCATCTAATTTTATCTTATAGACTCCAAAGTGAGAAGACCCTAGACTATTTGCATTGCGGAGAGCTAGAGAAGTCAGTGGCCCATCCCTTCATTTTATAGTTGAGGAAACCGAGGTTGCCAGACGGAGGAAGAGCAACTTTGAAACACCCAGCCTGAGTCCGAACTAATGCTAGAGTCCGAGTTTTCTGGCCCGTGATCCAGACCCTTTTCCGCTGTACAGCTTTTCTACAACACCGTCCTGCCCTTGAGCTGTAGCTCAGGAGAGAAGGGAACCAGCCGGTTAAAATGATGTCATTCATCCATTTCTTGGCCCTTCCTTACTCTTAAGGAACAGCGGTGCCTTTAACTTGTAAGGCGATGAGAAGTTCCAATATTTCAGTGTGTTTCTGCCAGCCATTTTTCTCCTGTGTGTACTTTTTGATTCGTGATTCAGCTAGTACTCTAGGTCCAGGTTTGCACTCTGCTGCGTGGCTGGTTCCGATCCACGTTTGTTTGAGGGCCACGGGTCTGCTGGAAAGAGTGCTGCAGTGAGGGACGATCAGGAGACCTGGCTCTACTCCCAGTTAGGCTGTTACATAGTTGCTTAGCCATCTGGGAGTCACTTAAACTGGGGACATCTGTGTCCTTCTCTGTAAAACGGAACACTTGAAACACGTGACCTTTGATTCATTTTAAGGTCAGTGTTTTGAACATGTGAGTCAACTTTCCCCAAAGACCAATAAAAGAACTCTGTGTTGGCATTTAGAGATGGAAAGATTCTAGTGTTTTCTGACTTAAACTGTATTCTTTGCTTTCTTTCCCTCTGACATTTTATGATAAAAATTTTCAAACATTCAAAAAAGTTGAAACAGTTTTACAATCACTTTTACGGTAAACACTTGTATACCTAGATTCCACTGTTAAATTTGTGTTACACTTGCTTGATCCTTGCTGTCCATCCACTAATCTAGCTTAGTTTTTTGGTGTATTTCAAAGTAAACTGCAGACATCTCTGCACTTTCCCCTAAGTATGCTCTTGGCTTTTGAACAGACCTCTAGCCTCTTGCTCACCTGACTACGTTTCTTTATCCTAATTTCCTGTTTTTTGGTTTTTTTTAAATAGCTCAGAAGCTTCAGCTTATTGATCATCAGTTTGCAGATGTTCACTCTCAGTGTCCAAAGTTAGAATCTTTAGAAGCGAAATTAAATGAATATAAGAGAGAAATAGAACAGCAGCTTCAGATAGAAATGTGTCAAAAGGTAAGTTTATCTAGTTGCTGTTAAGAAAAGTGATATTTTTGCTTGTCTTCTCATGTTAATTGTAGGTATATGGGAAAATATTGAGAACCTTTATTAATGAATGCAATACTAAATACTATACTATTCTGCATATTATTTTTCTTTCTACTTCATGTCATTTCTTTTCGTCTTTGAGTCTTAAAGATATAGTGAATGAAATGAAACTCAACATGAATTAAACTATATTTAGGGCATTGATGTTAAACCTACCGTGGAGAATTTGTTACTATTTCTTTAGTGTAATTACTGGTATTAACAAATATTTGTGATTAATTGGCAGTTGAAGGTTTTAAAAAATACTGAAATTGCAAAACTTATAATGGAAGAGAAAAGAAAGTCTGAGAAAGAATTAGCTGAGTTCCGGAACGAATTTGAGAGAGCTCGTCAAGCAAAATCCGAAGCACTTATTTCTCAGGAAAAGATGACCCTTGAGAGAATTCAAAAGTACCAGGAGGTAATATTTTAAAATCATATTCTGGGTGGCTGTTTCCTGCAGCTGCTAGGATTAGCTCAAGGTCCAGGGGCAAGATGGGACAGTTGCTGGAATAATTGATGGCACAAGGCCCTAGAGGACCAGTGGGGACTGAGGTCAAGAGCACAGTGGAAGGACCGGCCTTGAAAAGGATACTCAGACTTCTTTCCTCTGAGACTCCTGCGAGGAAAGATCTGTGGATGTGAACGTTCATTCACAGGACTGTGAGAAACTGACACAAAATAAGAGGCAGATTTGAGGGTGGGGTAGCAGCTTCGAGGCGAGGACCAGAGGTGTGGGATGGCTTCTGGGGGTGAGGGAAGCGCAGCTCTCTGAAGCCGGCAGCGCCGATTGAGCTGTGTTGAGGGCCCTGCTGAGATGGGCAGCCTGCAATTGAAGTAGACCAGACCAGGTGCGTGTAGGTGATCATTCTGTTGTAGCTCTTGGGAGGATTTGTAAGGCCAGCGAGGGCAGAGAAACAGAGGTATTTGGGAGTGGAGCTTTCTAGAGCTGAATTTATTTGACTTGAGAAAGGCTGCTTGTTGAATTGAAGACATTGGGATTCGGTGAGATGGCGAAGGGAACCAGAGAGGGTGGATGGCTACCAACCTAGGGGAGAAGGAGGGCTGCGTGACAGTCTCAAGGACATTAAGGAGCAGGTCTGGGGAACTGACACGTACAAGAATGAGGATGGTATTCACAATAAAAAATAATAAAAAAATGAAAAAAGAAAGTGTTATTAAAAAAAGCATATTAATAAAATCTAAGAGTAAAATATGCATGGTAATGTACACTTCCATTGAATTTTCTTGACGTTTCCATAGAGAACAACATACTGTAAAAATAAATGAGCTCTATAATTAAAAAAAAAAAAAGAATGAGGATGGCCCAAGAGCACAGAGTAACAGAGTAACAGAGTAACAGCTTGAGGTGTCAGGTGAAGATTGGAAACAATTCAGTGTGCTGCCATCAGAGCAAAGGTGAAGATCCCAGGAGTAGAGGAGCCCAAGGCTGCAAGGGTCATCACATGGCCATTTGATCTTGTCACCCGGGAAGGTGATTGGAGAGCAGGTGGAGAGGTTGAGGAGTGGCAGGGGGCGCATGTCAGCAGGAGGGATTGGAGCCGCTCCTTTAGGGAAAAACTGGTTCCTTCCCAAGGCTGTTTCAGACCAGATGGGATTTGGGGCACAGCCAGAACCACTGGTATCAGGAGGTGCTGAAAGTGGGGGCGACCTCCCAGCGTGCACCCTTGCTTTGGGCTTCTCCTGAGACCCAGTTATTTAATGGTCCTTGCACCCCCTCTACAATTTTGTATAGCATTTCTGGGAGTTGGGCTCGCTGCTCAGAGTAAATGTTGGAAGCACAGATCTTTGAGATGATGGGATTGTGTTTAGACTGACAAGTTCATCTTCAGGATAGGTGACTGACTAATCAGTTCGTTAACGCCTAAGGCCCCAGTTAGCTAACAGATTCTCTGAAGGCTCTGGGGGTTGGCATCCTCCTAAAAGGCACCATACCTTTCTTCCTTGCCTGGAATGCCCTTCCCCTTCTCTCACGGATAAAACCGCCCTGTCCTTCAAGCACCAGGTGGTAATATTTTCAAATCATTTACTGGGTGGCTATTTCCTGCACCTGTTAGCGGATTGGCTCAAGGTCCAGGAGCGAGTTGGGACAGCTCCAGCTTGAATGTCACCTCCTTGTGATGCCTTTCCTGATTCCCACTGATGGACTCATTTAGGCATCGTTCCTGCTCTGGGTCTTTATGGACTTTGGTTGTGAAATCATCACATTGTAATGTGAGTGAGTAAATTGTGACTTTTTTGAAGATTGGGACTGTATCTGTTCATCTTTTTATATCAAGCTCCCAGTGTGCTCTTTGACATATGATATTCAATAAATCCTTGCTCAGTGAACACACAAATGGAAGTCTGGCCTGTTCATTCAGGTGTTTATATGAGCTTGCTAATGCCAACTCAGAATGACTTATGAATTGAAACTTTCAGACAACAGCTACTGAACCATGGGGATTCTATTCTTAGTTTTATTGCTGAATGTACATTGTCTTTTTTTTTTTTGCTGAAGAACTTACCAAAATTTTAAGTACGTCTCTGAGAGCTGTTAATTAACTAGTAGAATAATTAGACAAGGGATGTTAGGAATATAGAGTAATGTAGCTTAACAGTTATTGGGGGAGGGAGTCAATTTATGCGTATCTAGAACAGGCAAAATGTATACCTTGAATTGGAACCTCTTAAAAGTGAACCTGTTAACTCTAAATGTCTGTATTTTGTTTTCTGGGATTTAGGAAGCAGTCTACTAGTTCAAATCTGTTTTCTTTAGCTTATTTGCTAAAAATTGATCCTTTCCTGACAGATTGAAACGAAAGAAATTTATGCTCAAAGGCAGCTTCTGCTAAAAGATATAGACTTGCTAAGGGGCAGAGAAGCAGAGCTGAAGCAAAGAATTGAAGCTTTTGAATTGTAAGTAATGTGTGTTCATTTTGGATTTTCAGAATGAAAGAGATTAAAAAGAACTAAATATGCCTAAATATTCTAATGTTCACTGCCAAGTAGAGTTCTTGGTTGTAAAGATGATATTACCTAGCTTTAAAAGACACAAGCTGAGACAAACGAAGAGTAGGTTTTGCGTTTGACATACTAGACATTGGGATGAAAAGCAGAATGAGACCGTCATCAGGCTACAGTAAGACCAGACAAGTCATTTGAAGATGCTAATAGTGCTTTAACAAATCATGTTTCACATTTACGTCCAGTCATTCAAATCTATGGTTATATGTGCATGTGGTGACTGAATTTCAGATATCCAGACCTGCCACATTTACCTGCTCTGCTGTCAAGTGGATATACGGTGACTCTGACTTGACTTGTACTGGGTGAAATGATTTCTTGTGATGTGTGTATTACTTTTTCTAAGTGCTCACAAACATTTCATTCTTCATATCTTACCTGGGATTAATAGCAAGCTCACCAGTCTACACTTTATGGAATAAGTTTTCTTTCCCATTATGTTCTGCTATTAATTGATACTCACAGGTACTCCAGAAATCTTACTTCATTAAGGATTTGTCTCCATCTTCCTTAATTGTTCTCTCATTTATATAGACACGATTCATTTGATTTCTTCTCTCCGCTTACCTTATTCTCTTTTTGTTAATACTAAAGAGGTAAATTGATCATGAAAGTGAAAGGAAGGTAACAAAATTTGAGTGGAGATGGGGTACTGCCCCCATCTACGTGTATAAACCCAATATCGGGGGATTTTTACTTTTATTTATTTATGAAATAATTTTTTACTTTTCAATTATAGTTGACATACAATATTATATTGGTTTCAGGTATATCACACAGTGATTAGACATTATATAACTTAATGGAGTGGTCACCTTGAGAAGTCTAGTACCCATCTGACACCATGCATAGTTATTACAACATTACTGACTATATTCCCTGTGCTGCAGTTTATGTCCCTGTAACTATTTTTATAACTGGAAATTTATACTTAATCCCCTCACTTTTTTCATCGTTTCCCCTGGTTACCCTCCTCCCATCTGGCAATCATCAGTTTTCTGTATCTGTAAGTCCATTTCTGTTTTTTTCATTTATTCTGTTCTTTAGATTCCACATATAAGTGAGATCATATGACATTTGTCTTTCTCTGTCTGACTTATTTCACTCAGCATAATACCCTCTAGGTCCATCCATGTTGTTGCAGATGGCAAAATTGCATTCATTTTTATGGCTGAGTAATACTCTGTTGTATGTATGTACCACCTCCTCTTTATCCATTAAACTCAGTATGGTTTACTGCTCTTTTGCTTCATAGGGAGTGAACACATAGAGCTTTTATCCTTTGCTTGGAGTAGTCAGTGTTCCCCAGCACTGCTCATGGCTTGATCTGATTACCTGTGATCCTGGTGCCCTGGCTCTGGATTGATTGTGTGGTGGATTTCAGGTCTCACTATGAAGACCATTGCATTCTTCAGTGTTTGGAAATTCTCACTGATCCATCTATGTTTTGCTCTCTCTTTTGGCACTCTTCTCAGTTTTCAATCGCGAGATTATTAAATGCCAAAACCAAATCTTCTACCTTTAATACCTATGGGCCAATGAATTAAATCTCACGGTTAGAAACAATATTATAGAAGAAACAAGCACTTAAGTGGACTAACTTAAGTTTGATTTGTAGCTTTGCAACTAATAATATTATTCTTTTACTCCTGAATTGATTATGGCCACTTGTCACCTGTGACCACTTTTTAAGTGTGAATCATCTGTGAGAAACCACTTTGGTCTTGACACTTTCACACTCCCTCCAGCCTCGTGCCACCGTCTAGCTCCATCTGCTACTTCAGACCCATCATAACTAGGTCAGTTCATAAATTAGACGGAAGACGTCTGGCCCTTTCCATGTACTTCCCAGTGGTGACAGTCACATAACAGTTTTAGTCTATGGAGCTAAAAACACATGTTTTTTTTCCCTAAAGTCTTCACTTCAGATATTTTAGTTTTCTTACTTGTTTTATATGTTTTCGCTAATTTCAGGGCCCAGAGGCTACAAGAAGAAAAAAATAAAAGTGTGGCTGATGCTCTTAGGGCACGGGAGCTGGATATAAAGAAGATTGAGGAGACCTATGACCAGAAGCTCAAGAATGAAATTCTAAAGTAATTGTTGAGTGTTTTTAAAGAAGTAATGTTTGAATTAAGTTGATGGAAACATGGCAACACTAAAGTATAACATAACATTTTATGGCAAAAGTTGGTGTTTAAAAAAACACATTTTCATTGACAGTTAAGCCTTTCCTATGAGTATTGGAGTTAAGATAGTTTTAAAAGGATACAGTACAGAGAATAGCATCCTCTGCTTGAATTGAGGGCCTGTGCTTTGCTTTAGTTTTTAGGGCACCTTGTGACTTGTTCAGCTTGCACTGCTGATAAGCTATGAAATTGGAATTATAATCACTTTCAGTTCTCTTTTTCTCTACCCCTCTCATAATGCCACTGAGATGGGGATATCTGACAATTTATAAATTATTCTGCCTGTAGTCATAGTATTTGTCAGTAAACCTGTGCCTTGTAGTTCAAGATTCTACAGAGACAGAATCCAAAGAAACAAACTGAAATTAACTACATGAAGCAAAAATGATACAGGAAGAGGAAAATATAGACAGCTATGGTTACTATGGCTTTCCTGTAGCCTGAGTTCTGTTGCGTGACACTGACTAATGTCTTAGTGCAAAGACATTAAGCCCGTATGGTAACTTCTCTCTCCGGTGCTCAGTGTAGCATCTGGCACATAGTAAGTGTTCAGTTAATATTTACTGAGTAAATGAATGGCGAACAGATGACTCAACTCAGTTGCTCTGGGTACTTCTTAATCATTGGCCTCTTTATTGCCTTGCCCATAATTTGTCATTGGTAACTTCACTACATAGTATTTGCAAAGGTTTCTTGAGGTTATTCTTGAAAAGAATTCTAATAAAAAGAAATATAGCACCTCTCCATGTATCAGTTTTGAAATGAGGTTGTGATCTGTACATATTTTATGTCAGCTCCTCGAACACAGTAACAGACACGGAAGTATCTAGTTGGTAAATTTTTAGAGAGAAATGAATATATGTGCATGGGTACTTTACATACCCATGGAGAGAGAGCATGAACTGTTTGGTGTTATTTGTCTGGCTGGGTAGCAGCTGTGACTTTGGCAGGTGTTGGAGTTTGGAGGATATTCACCACAGCAGTGCTTTTCTTTCCTTTCTGCCATCTCCGAACCAAAAAGTCAGCTAGTAACAGTTGGTGGAGATAAGTAAAACTGCGTGGAAATGTGCCTTTTGGTATTGCTAATTCAGATATAAAGGTTTTGGCAGTTGGCTCCCAGCACTGTAGGGGTGGGGAGGTAGGCAAGTGGTTTGGAAATGACTGACTTCTTATCTTTGGGGAGTTAGACTCAGTTGTACGAAAGTGGCAAGAACAATGGGATAAGTGTGTTTGAAGCAAGGGGGAGTATTTTGAGGGGGGTTAATGGCAATGTGTCTTTTACTGTAATACATTTTTTTTATTTAAACATTCTCCGTATTTTTTTATGACACCTCGTATGGAGTATGAATTTAACTTAACTTACTTCTTGATATCAGTCCAGACCATCTGAGGAATAATTGCTCAATAACCTCACAAGTTTGGGGACCTCATTTACAAGATTGCAGCAGGCTTTCACTGGACCTTTTATGTTCAGAATTTGGATCTCTGGCCTTGACGTTTATGTGTTACCATGTTCAGTACCCTTATGCGTTGATAGGAATCCGTCCAAGAAAGTAAAAAGAAGTTCATTTTTAGTCATTCTGATTCTCAGGTATCAACTGGAACTAAAGAACAGCTACATCGCTAGAACTAACAGACTGATGGAAGAAGAAAGGAAGAATAAAGGTGATTCTTAAGGGGGGAGACTGTTTTTCAGTTCTGATGTAGGTTCTTAGCTTCCTAAGCTGAGTCTGTTCTATATTCTTAAAATACATACACCTTGGGCCGGCCGAGTGGCTCAGTTGTTTAAGAACTTGCTCAAGAGTGCGAGCTCTGAGCAACAGGGTTGCTGGTTCGATTCCCGGCCCGAGCTAAGCTGCCACTGAGCTGCCAACATATACCTTATACTTCACTTTTACTGCAAAATTACCCATTTTTTGTCCTTTAATTTTACAAAATTAAAAAAATATTCATTGTCTTTCACTGTGTTTTTGGAAACCTTCATGTTTAACCTTTTGTACAGTCACAAAGGCCACTGATTTATCGGCAGGATTTTATCCAATTTTATTATTATTTTTTTATGAGAAAAATACTATGTCAAAAATGACCCTTAACCTGAGAGGAAGTAGGGTATTCAGGTTTTTTTTCCCATCCTCCTACCTCCTCCCCTTTGATAGTCATCGGCTTGTTCTCTATATCTGTGGGCCTGTTTCTATTTTGTTTATTCATTGGTTTTGTTTTTTTAGATTGCACATATAAGTGAAATCATACAGTATTTGTATTTCTCTGTCTGACTTATTTCACTTAGCATAACACCCTCTAGGTCCATCTATGTTGTTGTAAATGACAAGGTTTCATTCCTTTTTATTGCTGAATAACATTCCATTGTGTATTTGTACCACACCTACTTTACCCATTCATCTATTAGTAGCCATCTAGGTTGCTTCTATCGTCGGAAAAGTCATGACGTATTTTGTCTGTTTTTCAAAGGACATTTATTTATATAAAGAACAAAGATCAATCAATGATATATTGCCCGTTTTGTTCGCTAACCTTTTGCCATCTTTCAGTGAGCTTCATAATTCCTCATTCATAGAAAGACCTTTCTTTATTTGCGAAAAACTGAACAAGGTGCTGATTTACAGCCTCATCTGAATTGACCGTTATACCACGCAAGGAGTTTTGAAGAGAGCGAAACAAGTGGAAGTCTGATGGCGCAAGGTCAGGCGAGTATGGTGGGTGTGGCAACACATCCCATCGAAGCTCCAATAATTTTTGACGGGTGATCAAACTTCTGTGTGGTCTCGCATTGTCGTGATGGAACACAACTCCTTTACAATTAACAAGCTCTGGACGTTTCTGGATGATGGATTCGTTCAAACTGTCCAATTGCCTACAGGACACATTCGAATTGATTGTTTGGTTCCTTGGTAGGAGCTCGAAAAACACAACACCTTTAAAATCCCACCACACTGAGAGCATAACCTTCCTCTGATGAATGTCTGCTTTCGATGTCGTTTGAGGCGAATCAGCACGTCGGACCAAGACTGTTTGCACACCACATTGTTGTAAACAATCCACTTCTGATCACCAGTTATCAGTCACTTCAAAAAAGGATCGTTTTCCTCACGTTTAATGAGCATATTGTAGATGTTTATACGCGCTGTCAAATGAACTTCTTTGAGTTCATGCAGAACCCAAATATCGAGCTTGCTTATATATCCCAACTTCTTCAGGTGGTCGTGAATGCTTGAATGATGGATGTTCAATGTTTCTGCAATCTCTTGTGTATCGTGGGTTTGACTCGATCGATGCCTTTATTTTGTGATCATCAACCTTGGTGGGCCTCCCTGACCGAGGAGCGTCGTTGAGATCAAAATCACCAGTATGGAATTTCGTGAACCATCGTTGGCACTGACGTTCTTGTAGAGCATTGTCACCATAAACTTTATGCAACTTTTCACAAGCTTGACGCGCGCGCATTCTTCCTTTTATAGAAGTAAAACAGTAAAATATGGCAAAAATGCAGAGTTTGGTCTTCCATCTTCAATTTGCTAAATCTCCAAAAGTCAACTAAATCGCTCAATTTTATTTTTAGAATGAAGCTAGAGCTGTCAGCTGTCAAATGACATAGCAATAGCATAGATGCGAATGACTCTAGTACTTCCAAAAATGAACTAGCACAGTTTGTTGCAAACATGCGTCATGCCTTTTCCGACAACCCAATATATCTTGTAATGCTGCATAGTACTAGTAATATAATGCTTCCATATTACTAGTAATGCTGCAATGAACATAGGGGTGCATATATCTTTCCAAATTAGTGTCTTTGGTTTTTTTGGATAAATATCCAGAAGTGGAATTGCTCAATCATATGGCAGGTCTATTTTTAATTTTATGAGAAATCTCCATACTGATTTCCATTGTGGCTGCACCAATTTGCAGTCCACCAACAGTGCACCAGTGTTTCCTTTTCTCAACATCCTTGCCAGCAGTTGTTGTTTGTTGATTTATTGATGATGGCCATTCTGACAGGTATGAGGTTGGTTTTAATTTGCATTTCTCTAATGATTAGTGACATTGAGCATCTTTTCATATATCTGTTGGCCATCTGTATGTCCTCTTTGGAGAAATGTCTATTCAGGTCCTCTGCCATTTTTTTAATGGATTGTTTGTTTTTTTGGTGTTAAGTTGTAAGAGTTCCTAATGTATTTTGCATATTAGCCCCTTGTCAGATGTATGATTTGCAAATAGCTTTTCCAATTCAGAAGGATGTCTTTTTGTTTTTGTTTTTTTAAGATTTTTATTGGGGAATTGGGGGATGGGAACAGTGCTGGGGAATTGGGGGAAGGGGAACAGACAAGTTGCTGTCGTTTTGTTCTTCAGTCTAGTTGTGGAGGACGTTGCTTCACTGGCCCACGTTGGCACCATCATTGTGCTCTTCCCCGGGTGAGGCAGATCAGTCGCCGGCTTCTGGATGGCCGCTCACGCTGGCTGCTGGCTACACACGGTAGCCCATGGCAACCCACTGCCACAGGGGCTGCAGCCTGTGCTGTCACTGGTGACTCACGGCAGCCCAGCTCCAGGTTGAGCTGTTGGTCAGCATCTTAGCTGTAGAGGGCAGTGTCACTGGCCCTCATATGTGGGATCTGAACCGGGGCCCTCTGGCATCCCAAGCCAGCTCTTAACCATCGCGCCACTCGGCTGGCCCAGGATGTCTTTTTGTTTTGTTGGTTTCCTTTTCTGTTCAAAAGCTTTTTAGTTTGATGTTGTCCCATTTGTTTATTTGTTCTTTTGTTGATTTTTCTCTGGGGAGACAATATCCAAAAAAATATTGCTGAAAGCAATGTCAGAGAGTTTACTGCCTATGTTTTCTTCTAGGAGTTTATGATTTCATGTCTTACATTTAAGTCTTTAATCTACTTTGAGTTTATTTTTGTATATTTTGTATATTTTTATATATTTGAATATATTTTGATAAATAAATCGGTGATTGTCAAGAATGTGGCAGCAGCTTACTGCTGTCTGGTAAATGTTAATCATGAGACTCTTCATTTTTGCTAATAGAAAATTTTATTTTAACTTCTCTGTCCCCTGTGACGCATTTCCTTATTTTTTTTTTACTTCTAATATATTTTTATGCTTCATTATATTTTCACTTGACACATAACCTCCTAAACTGTTGTATCCATTAGCCCAGGACTAGGAATATTGGATAACATTTCAGTCTCTAGGTATTTTACAATACATTTCAGTGTTTCTAGGTACTTGCTGATGACAAGAAGTTGAACTTTGGTGGAAAGTTCAAAGGAATTCTTGAAAGTAAACTAGGGCTGGGTACTTGATGTTGACCTGTGAGGTTACTCAGTGCGTGTCTGCTCCTTTGTGGCTATCTGGAGGAGAGTGACACTTCTTTAGGAATTAGGACCATCATGTATTCAGCAAATTATTTTTTGATGATGTATCTACATAGACTTGTGTTAGATGAAGAGAAAATGACAAAATTGTGACTACAGAATTGTAACACACAAACCTTTGTCTTTAAGGAAATTTAGATCTGTTGGCATGAGGGCTCTGAGCAGATAGATGGTGTGACTCTGTTTAGCAGGAGGAAATTCACCACATATATGACCATTGTATCTAACTTCCTGTCACCTGTTGGGTAACAGGGCTCATTTCTTGCTTGCTGATTTTCTGTGATTTTAGATTATGAAATAATGGTCAGTAGGTCTGACGTGCTGGCCATAAATTATTAAATTACTTTTGTATTCACTAGGAAAACATGATGTTTAATTGGTTGGCTCTTTTTTACAGAAAAAGCTATACATTTGCAAGAGGAACTCACAGCTGTTAATTCAAAAAAGGAAAAACTCAATCATTATGTAAATCGTGTGAAAGAACTTGAGGTAATTGTTAAGCCAATTATTTTTTTTTAAATCGATGTTAGACAATATATGAAATTTTAGTTTTAGCCATACATAGTTTATCTTAAGTTATACCCTTGGTGTGTTTGGACTGTTCATTATGTGACAGAGAAGGTGATGGCTGAACTTCAGTTAATGCAGTAGTTCTTCATTTTAATCTTAGTCTCCTGGAGGAATGTGGAAAGAGTACATCCTTTGAGGCCTGGAGATCTGCTTGAGTCCTGTTGCTCCCTTACTGCATGTGTGCCTTCGGGCAAGCTCTCTGACCTCTGATACCGTAGCCATAAACTTTGGGATATTGCCCACGTGCAGTGCTTGTTGAGGGACTTTTGTGAGCTGATTTATGTGCCGAGCATATAGCAGCTGGCCAGCACACATTACTTTCTACCTCAGCCTCTTCGCCCTTCCCATCAGCAGCAGGTACAATTCCTATCCTCACATTGGGATCTTACACATGAAAACAGAATGAGATGCGTTTTTCACATGCCACTGTTGCTTTATTTCTGTTCACACGTGTTTGCAATCTGAAGGACAGAGCTGGGACTTTAGGTACTTAACATATACTCTGTATATAAAATTTATTTTTGGAACTGTAATGATTATTTGAGAACTTTGTAGGGTTTTGTATACAAACATTATACTAAGGAAAGCACCCTACAGCATGTCTGTGATATGTGACCTTTTCATATTTACGAATAAATTATCGCCACAATGTGTGATTGCGGTTGGGGCCTTTGTTGCATCTGGAAGATGGGGTGATAATGAGAAGCACTTAGTTTGTAGGACAGGGTTCTACATAAGTCAAGTTGGATGAACTCCCCCTGCCCCAATTCTAGGGCAAAAGATGCCTTTCACTGTTGCAGTTAGGGTCTTGTCGTTGCGGAAAACCAGACTTCTGTCAAGTGGCCATAATTACATCGTGCCACCCAGCTTCACCAGCCTGCCAGCTCTCGCTTAAGCAGTACTGCTAAGTCATTGTTCCAAGATAAGTTTTACTTTGTCAATTTTGTAGATTGAGCTAGAGTCTGTCAAAGCCCAGTCTCTGGTGATAACAAAGCAAAACCACCTGCTGAATGAAAAGATGAAAGAAATGAGTGACTATCCACTGCTGAAAGAAGGGAAACTGGAGCTTCAGGCGCAAATTAAATTACTTAAACAACAACTGGAAGAGAGTAGAAATGAAAACTTGAATCTCCTAAACCGTACGTCTTTTTCCTTGATTTGTATGTTTTTGTAATTCATATTCACTTAGTGTTTTGAAACTGTGCTTTGTACCTGTAAGGGAGGCTTCAATAGGGAAATTTTTATAAAATTAAGATTCTCGGCCTGAAGGTACTTTCCTTTTGCTTGCTATTGAATAATTATTAGTGTCACTAAGAAGAAATATTTTTAAACTGTACAAATCTGCCCCTCTGGATAGTACCAGACTCCCCTTGGGCTCTGCTGGTTGAGTTTGGCCAGTGGGGACACCCTCAGGTTCTGGGACGGTGGGATGAGAGTGAGGTTGATGGTACCCACCCCTGCCACCTCTGTGTACAGTGGCTCTGGCTGGCCCTGCGCCTCTCAGCCAGGCAAGATCCCAGTGCTTGGGGCATGGCCTCGCCAGTTCTGAGAATTCCTCCCTCCCCGGCCATCGAGGCCCAAGGAGCGGGAAGAGCGTGGCCTCTTGACTAGCCCAGGGAACGGCACCATCCTTTGTGCCTACCCTACATGAAGTGCCCTTTATTAGGGGGTCCCTGCTGACCCCAGTGGGGCAACTCCATCTGCTCTCTGCCTGGACCCCGGTACCACTGACAGATGCACGGACTGGACCTCGGGCAGCTATCAACAGGCTTTGATGGAAGGCTCCTTCTGTGCCTTCTGTGCATGGCAGAGGGGAGAGGCGGGCTTTCAAGTTAAGTGGAGGATCGGAAAGCTTTTACCTGGAGCCGGACTATGTAGAGTAGTCAAGTTTGCATTTACATGCCTCCTGTTCTTTTGTTCTGAAATTTGTGAATCAGAATTGCTCCTAGTCTACTTAATACAATTCATGTAACATAATCACATGCGTACAAAGAAAAGGGAGAACAGTTTAACATCTCTTCAGCTGCTTTTGTTAAGTGAAATGGGAGAACTTCAGGTTGGTACTGACCAGGCTTTTCTGCCCCCTTAGGAATGGCTCAGCCATCTCCTGAGCTGGTAATTTTTCAGAAAGAATTAAAGAAAGCAGAAAATGCTATCGCATTGGAGCATAAGGAGTTTGAAGCCCACAAGCAAGCTCTGCACAAACAGCTGCAAAAGGAAGTGAGTACTGCTCCTTGCTCGGCCCGCTGTTGTGCCAGGCACTTGTAGACGGGTAAACTTGGCATATGTCACACCAGCGTACGTCATTGATTTTAACATAAAAAATTACTCCCCCAATGTGCTGAGGGTATCTTTCTCATCTGAGAAAATTCTCAAGCGATTATGTGACTTTATATGCATAATAGTAATAAAATGCTGAGGAAAGCAAACACACCTACACACAAAATTATCCAAGTCCTGATGGTGCCCACTGTTTTAAATGTCTCCTCATTCTCGCCCTGGGCTTAGAAATCTTGACACTCTTTCTGATGTCCCCCTCATGTCTTGGAGTGGTTGTTCTTTGAGATAGTGAAGGAAGGAGGTGGGAAACGGGTTTGCGTGTTCTGTTGTCCTTTTCTAGGAACCCGTGGATTACAGGTGTAAAGCTGCTCAGAATTGGCAAAACAGAAAAAGAGAATAAGCCCAAAAAGAGAATTGCTCCTTTGGAAGTGCGGTGCGATTTCTTTTACGTTGACTTCTTTTCCTTCTCCACATCTTTGCAGATTGAGCATTCTGCACAGCTGAAGGCCCAGATATTAGAGTACGATGGCTCTGTGAAGAGGCTAACTGTGCAGGTGGCCGATTTAAAATTGCAACTGAAACAAACTCAGACAGGTTAGAGACCTTGGTAACCTATAAACGGGTGTGTGTAAAGCTTTCGATGGTGGTGGAAATATAATGATAGCTACTCATTGAATGTTCAGTAGCTCGCACAGTAGGGGAAAAGCCATAGAAGTATGTGTCATCTTAGAAGTAAAACTCCCTGTCCATTTCCGGAATGCCACTTGGGTTATCAGCTAAAGCGACTTGCCTTCACAGGTGTCCCATGTCTTGGGAGAGCCTTAAATCCCAAATAGGAAAGGCGTGGCAGTGACGCAGAAGTCCCCACGTTCACCCTGGACCTGGGCTTTTCTTTTATATTTGTTACCCTGATAATAAGACCACTCGGCTCTTCGGTGGTTAGACACACTCCTTGACACATGAGTAAATGCGAATATGGGACAAGCAGGGAGGCCCAGCAAAAGAGCGTTGCCACTGGAGTCAGAAACCTGATTTTGCTTTCGCACCCGAATTTTGAAGTTAGTTGTTTGCCCTTGGGCATGTTGAACTTCCTTGGACCACAGTTTCCTTATCAGTCCTGGGGATGGGTACCTGCGGGCCATGGTGAATGAAGATGGAATGGGGTGGGTCCCGCACTCGGAATGATCCTGCTGTCCTTTTATCGCATGTGTTCACTGTGGATGCGTGATGTCTGCTTCCTACTTCATGAGAAGGTGTACTGAAGCTTAGATGCCTTCTTTCGCTGCTTTCAAGCCCAGAGGACATTTCTGTGTTTTACCAGTCGATCTGATTTCTCACACACCCTGGTTCTGAGCCTTCCTCAGTTCCCATTTGCACCCTCTCCTCCTCAGTCCTTGTTCCCTTCTCCTGCACTGGTTTATTTTTATCTCTTTACTCATTTCTTCTCTTTCCTGTTCCTCATTTCCTCGCAACAGTTCTGTTTGCCAAACTGCCCACAGCTAAAATCATAGCGCTCTTGTATCACGAAAAATAGTTTAATGAGGATGGAACCGTTTTGAACGCATGCATTGCCCACTACAAGCATGCGTCCTGGAGACATTGCAGGACAGCGGCCGCCACACGGACTGGCTTTGCATGGCCTGCTTTTGTGTTAGGAAATCCCAGTGTCTAGACGCTTTGCTAACTGTGACCAGCCCCGGTTCCCCATCTGTAATACGGGAGCAGTGATAGCTGTGGGCCCTCAGCCTTGGTGTGACTACAGGTCCTCCTCCCCTTATCTGAAACCTGGACCCTGAACTCAATTTTGCCACAGCCCTGGGAGTTCTGGGCAGCATCCTGTAGGGAAACATGCAGATTAATTCGCAGTCAAATGTATGACTAACCATGCTAGGTAGAAGAATAAAAATTATTGTGGGTTTGTTTGCATCAATTCAGGTCAAGTGTATCGACCAGATGAGTTCTGGCCTGGTTAGGCTTCGCGGCCAAATTATTATGAATACATTTTCAGTTCTCAGAGCTTTTTAGATTTCAAGATTGTGCATAGTGAATTGTGAAATAGTGTCATGGTTAAGAAAGAAGGCCTGTGAACTGACGCTCTCAATGAATGTTAATAAGTATTAGCATCACCCTGGCTTCAGAAACTGTTTAATGTGCAAGTTTGTCCTTATTAGTACCTTGTTTCCTTTTTCAAAACAAATAGTACTCAGGTATATCTCAGTTCTGTTCTCCTTTTATCTCCCCCTCGTCTCTCACGCTACCTCTGTCACCTGCAGCCCTAGAGAATGAAGTGTACCGCAAGCCAAAGCAGTCGCTGATGCATCGTTCTGTCAGCGGTTTCGGGGTGCCCTCCGATGGTGACAGAAGCGGGAATTTCTTGAAAAATCCTCTGGAACAGGAAATGCTGATGGCAGGCACAGTTACCCCTGTGGTCGCACGTTATCCAGAGGCGAGCATGGACGGCGGCTCCCCCGATTCAGACCTTGAGTTTGTAGCCAGCACCAAGGCAAGAATGAAGGAGCTGGAGCAAGAGGCCGAGCGCCTGGAGAAAGCTTTCCAAGATTACCATCGAAGAGTGAGTCAGTACCCTGCCGCTAAGCGCCCAGTGGCAGCCAAGAGCCGATCAGCCCTGCACTTGCCTGGAACTCTCAAGAGCATTAGTTCAAGTACCTCCGAAAGGCGTATTTTTGCAGAGGATGGTGCCATGTCCCAGCATCCTCTGGTGGGCGACACAACAGAAACGCTGACGGGCAGCGCGGCCTCACGGCCCTGCAGAGGCACTGGCAGACGCCTCTCTTCCATTCCCCTTGCCAAAGCTAAACGAAGCCTTGATGGCAAAATGCATCTGGAAGGTGAGCTTCTGCAAAAAGGGTTGTAGGATGCTCTGGACTTGGATCCTCAGTAGCCCTCTTGTCTGGGTAGTACTGCCGTCGACAGCAGGAAGGAGCGGAAAGCGCATGCGTAGCTGGGCCTGCGCAAGCCCTAGCCCAGGCACGCGTGTCCTCTGTACTTCTGCTGCTTGCTGACAGCGGTGTCAAGCCCAGGGCACAGGGTCGGTGTGGGAGGCAGTGGGATAGAGTAGAAGTTCCAGCACTGGGCTTGGCACCCAGAGGTGCTCAGAGTGTTGACAGTGGCTTTCCTCTATCGCTGATTAGTTTTCTACATTTTATTGTTATCACTGCAGTTTCATGTAGGTGCTTGAATCGTTAATTCTGTGGATCATTTATGCATCATACCCCGCTGTTTGCAAGGATAATGGAGTTTGTTTTCAAAGGAATAGAACCCTGGAAACTGCGTTGCTTTTTTCTCTGTGTAACTTGTAATATCCTTGCCCTGGTTTCTTGTGCTTCTTAGGCCTGGGCCGGTCCGCTGTTGCCCCTAGTCCTTGTCCTGACAGAACGCCCCAGCTTTCACCCGCCGAGTCTAGGCACAGCCCTTCTGTCCACTCGCTCCCCAGGTCTTTGGAGCACAAGGCCAGGTAAGGATGCGTTCCGGAGGCCTCAGCCGAGTCTGGTTAGTGGCACGGGGCTCGGCCTTCACTTGTTTGGTTTTTAGCACCATGTGGCAATATAGACTTTGTGATCAGATTAGTAGATGATGTGTGAGCTTTGAGAATCATCTGAGTTACCTGGAAAAAATTCCTTTAGGCAAGTAGGTCATTTCTATTTGTTTGCTAAACTTGACATATAGAATATGTGCTGTGGTATCAATAAACAGCTTCATAGTTCCATGAATAAACTCAGTTTAAAAAGAAAAAAAACCGAATGTACAAAAATCTGCAAAAGCACATAAGTTCAGTTTATTTTAAAACTTGAAACAGTTTCACACATCACTAAAAAGTCATTTAAAAGGTATTTTGGGGGTGACTGGTTAGCTCAGTTGGTTGGAGCATCCTGCTGATAGCATCAGGGTTGCCGGTTCGATCTCCGCATAGGCCACTGTGGGCTGCGTCCTCCTTAAACAGATTAAGTATAAACAAAATTCTAATTTGTCTATTGAAATAATTTCGAAAGTGGTGGGGGTCCTAGGGGACGGCTGCTAAAGCAGGATGGAGTAGATGTGTTTAGCAGCTGGGCAGTGGGTTGCCTGGGCTGGGATTTGAGTCTCCTAGGGACTCCTGCCTGTGCCTGGTCCCACTGCGGGAGATTCTGATCCTTAGTTCTGGGCTCCAGCCTGGGCATCTGCATTATCAATTCAGGTCGACTGTACAGAGTTGAAAGCTGCTACGTGTGCCCCTCATGGTCCTCAAGCATGTGCCCTTTTTTTTTAATATCACTCTCTCGTGGTAAAGCCAAGAGGAAAGACGAGACCACGTGCTGAGTTGGGGCACTTGCATGCACATGGGGCTTGTGGTATCGCATCTTCAACAGGCTCTGGGTGGATGGTGTGGAGAATTGGTTTTCTTCAAAATGTTTTGTGGTTCTGGACAAAGTAAACTGTTGGGAACACCATTGCAAGTGCAACAAGGTAGCACCACCTCACAGCATGAGGCGATTATGAGGGCGGCCTGAGCTAACGTGTGGTGCAGGTCGCTCTGCTCTCGTGGGAACAAATAATTTTCTAAAACATTTTCTCTGGTCACTAAAGGCTTTTCATCATCCTGTGCTCTTGGGTTTTAACATTACTAAAGCTTCACATTCACGGATTTTATTCTTCCAATCCAGCCTTTATGAAAGACAAAGTGAACTTCAAGACAAAACTGAATCTTCAGATCCAGACAAGCTACCTTTTAAGGATAATGAGGAATTTGAATCATCTTTTGAATGTAAGTTCAAATATAAGTACTTTTGATAAGTTGCAAATGTAGAAAGCTTAGTTTTGGTAAAACATATCCATTGCTCTACAAACCAGTTACAAATTAGGACATTTGCATTTTGTGATAAAGCCATAAATATAGATATATTGCCTCGTATTTGTATCACAAAGATTTTCAGTTACATTTGAGTTCCATTTGTAAAAAAATTCAGGATAACCAATAATTTCGAAGTTGGAGCTAAGCCCACAAGTGCACCCGTAACTTAATTTATCAAGCTCGAGGTTGCCCCTGATTTAACATACATGATTTTTTAATTTGTTTTTGCTCTTTTTTTATGGAATGTGAAGATGCTGAGTTATTTTTCTTTACATTATACGGATTCTGTCCACTGCTTCAGATTTAGAAAACCCCTTCTTAGTGAAAGAGTGGAGGTGAAAGTATATTAGCTTCGTTGTCCAGCCACTGGTGTCCCAGCTCTGGCCCTGTCTTAGATCGTTCCACCTGGGAGCCTCCTGTTTAAGTATAAAACTGGGGTGTATTTTCCACCATCTCTGAGGTTCTTCCCAGCTGGGGAAGTCTTTATGTTTGTATATAACCTATCGTTTAGTCTTGTATGCCTCATCAGCAAGTCTGAAAGTATTTTGAACAGTTAAATGAGAAGGCTTAGTCAGATTTGCAAATTCTTTGTAACTTTAACAGCTTTGTTAACTCATTGATATGTAAATAGAATTTAAATGATTATCAGTAAGCCAGGTGAATTCTTCTCCATCACTTCCTGTTGAGTTACAAATCTAATTTTACAAACAAATCTAATTCTTTAAAGTGTAAGAACACTTTGAGAAGCCAATACATCATCAGGCAGTTACACTGAAAATGTCTTACTTAGAATTCTGTAAGGACGGGCTGGCTGGTTGCTTTGGCCCAAACTTGAGTGCTCCGCGATGAGTTACCCCACACTACCTGCACTCCCTTCCCTCGCTGTTGTTCTGAAAGACTCCTGAGACACTGTTTGCGCCTTGTGTAGTTGCAGGGGACATGCCAAAGCAGTCTGAAGCGGATGGCCTCCGTACTGCTGGCGACATGCCCCATTTGGACGCAGCTCCTGCCAGAGCTGTCTCCTGTCACTACCCAAGTAAGTTTCTCTTTGTTTTAACTAACAGGTAGCGTAACTGCATACTGAACGCCAGTCTGTGCCCTGTAAATTATTTCACGTATTTTTTTTAAGGTTTTTTTTGGGGAATTGGGGGAGGGGAACAGCCAAGTTGTTGTTCTTCAATCTTAGTTGTGGAGGGTGCCAGTTGCCACCTGGCTTCCCGTCGGCAGTTCGTGGCCTCTAAGCTCAAGGTGCTGTTACAATCTTAGTTGCAGGTGGGCGTAGCCACCATCCCATGTGGGAGTCGAACCAGCAGTCTTGTTGTTAAGAGTACACGCCCTATCCACTGAGCCATCCAGGCGGCAGCTCAGCTCAAGGTGCTGAGTTCAGTCTTTAGTTGCAGGTGGGTGTAGCCACCATCGAACAGGTAATCTTGTTGTTATATCAGCTGAGCCGTCCTGCCACTTGTTGGCAGCTTAGTGACAGCTGAACTCAGGCGCAGTGTCACTGGCCCATGTGGGATCTGAACCGGCGACCCTGTTGCTCAGAGCTCTCGCTCTTAAGCCAACTCTTAACCAACTGAGCCACTCGGCCAGCTGAGCCACTCGGCCAGCCCAATTTCATGTATTGTTGAAGGACTTTGTAAGCATAAATTATTCAAAGTCTTGGGGTTGGGGTGTTATCATTGTTACTGACACTTCTGAAGTAACTCAATTTGAACTTGTAAAGACAGTGCTGAGGAGAAAACTGAAGGAAAGGATTCTCATTTGGTCTTCCTGGGCGAATTGCTTTTAAATTTTTTTCTTGTCCAAAGTCTGACAAAGCAGTGAGCTTTTTTGCTTAAGACACTACTGCAAAAACCATTCTGTGAGAGCCTTACCATCTTAGGAAATCATAGTGACACATTGAAAGAATGGCTAATACCCGTTATACATCTTTAACGTGATTGTAATCTTTTACCATTTTTGGGTTATCGGAAAAGTCATGACGTATTTTATGGTTTTCGTTGCAAAAATGTGTCCTGACTTTTCCGACAACCCAATATTTCTCTTCCTGTCTTTTGTAACCTTCATTGCCAAATCTGAAAGTATGTTTTAAATAGTTAAATAAGAAGGCTTAGTCAAATTTGCAAATTCTTTGTAACTAACTTTAACAACTCTGTTAACCCTGGTGGCTGAGTGAACATGGCATAGAAAGAGCATGATTAAAGGGACAGGAATAATAACTTCAGGTGTGAAGCTGGTGCTGTGGGATTTCCATGCATGGATAGCAAGGAACCTGTCGGAAACATGGATGTGAGGCTGGGGGAGAGGTCAGACTAGAGAATGATATGGGAATGACGGGGACACAGGCAATAGCTACAACCCCAGGAAGGGATGAGCCTGGAGGAAGTGGGGAACGACGATGAGATGGCTGCGGGGCTGTGCGTGCTGGTTTTGGACTGTTCTGGGCAGGAGAGGCTCAGGCCCTTTGTGGGATTTGGGAAGAGTTATCAAACTGCTGTGTCGATAAAGAGGGGCTAGTGGTTAAGTCCAGACAGAAATGCAGGGCTTGCCTTGAGAAGGGTGAAGAGGATGAGAAAATGTGATGTGGAGGGGAGGGCACTGGAGGCCGCTCCTGGCAAGGGTGACTTGTCCTCATCTCAGTAACGTAAAGGGTGCGGTGCTAGGAGTGGGGCTGGAAGACCAGGAAGCTGGACCAGCAGGCCACGAGTCCCCTGAGAATCAAGCAGTGTCCCTGAGTCTCGGCAGGGGCCCCTATAAACTGGTCCCTCACCTGTTTGAAAAACTGCTCCGGGAAGCTACTCGGTCTTTATTTTCTTATCCTTTAGGTGTAGATCAGAAACAACCTGAACAGAGAGAAGACGAAAGCATATGGGAGCAGCAAGTGAAAGAGCCAAGGCAGAAAGAAGACAGAAGGCAGAGTGAACAAGAAGCTTTAGGAAGGGAACGAAGAGAGCTGGAAAAACTGGATCAAGAAACGGTAACAATATAATAAGTACAGCTGAGTTCTCCGTACTAGTTTCTCCAGGGCGTACCTTCAGAAAGTACCCTGCTCTCAGGGCCGCGGGTCCTCAGTGTGTCCCGGAGCCTTTTCAAAAGCCGGCCGCAGGCATCTCGAGCCTCTGTTCTGCCTCAGAGCACCATGAAGGGCTGCGCACACGCACCTTAGAGTTCATAGCAAAGGGGAGCTTTTGCCAGCCCGTGGACGCCTTCTCAGCTGGCCCTGAACCTGCCTGTAACGGAGGTGGACTGTGCTTTGTAAGGGGGCTTTACAGGTCAGCTGGCCAGGACCCGCGGAACCCAGGGGAGGCGACCGCCAGGCCACGGGGCCTTCTGCGGGCTCCCCTGACCTCCTTCCCGATTCTCTTTGGCCTTCTGTGTCCTGATTCGGGTCCCCTACAGATGCATTACTCACCCCTGCCACTTCGCACGCCCCCTGAGTCTTACATAAATTAGCCTTCCATATGGACGTTCCTTGAACTGCTGGTTAATTTGGTCTAAAGCACAGGACACTTTAGGCAAATCAGTCCGTTCCTTCATTGACATGACATGTTTGTCCCCCTTAGATGGTAGCAATGGCATCAGTGAAAAAGAAAAATAGTTTGCTGGCATGCAGGTTTTACTTAAAAGATCAGAATTATGATGCATGTTTTTAAAGTATATTTGTGTATATCCTCTTTTGGTTCCCATATATTTGACAGCGGATTATTGAAGAGTCATTGAAGATTGAAATGGAAAAGCAATTAGAAATAAGTAGTCAAGAAACGAAAGACAAATCTGTTTGTGCTGGAAATCCTTTAGAGAAATACATGAAAATCATCCAGGAGGACCAGGACCAGGAGGCGGCAGATAAGGTGTGGTGATGCTTTGGACTGGCTGCCCGTGGGTGGGGGGCCGCAAGGGTTTATTATCTGTGGTTTATTAGAAAACCTTGGGGCAGGAGTCTGCTTTCTCCATTGGGGACAAAAATGTAAAAGCGGACAAAATCCAAAGTTCAAATGGAGGCTCGAGTCTTTTAAGTATATTATTCTCTTGACAAAATTTTATCACTTTTGCTTGGGTAAAAGATTGAACAGATTTTGACTTGTCAAAGTTTGTAAAGGTTGAGATGTCTCTTATTATTTTTAGAACAAGAAAAATGAAAGCCCTATCAATGAATAATGAATGCATTGGTACTGTCCGAGACATTAATATTCTGTATAAGTCTGAAGTACTGTGGGTGTTGCGAATGCCTACCGGATACTTTGATGTGCTTGCTGAATTCCATGTTTAAAAGTCACCTCTTTTTTGGGCTCTTAAATTACATATGTATTTCAAAATTATTCTTTCTCCTGTCTTTGTATCAGAGCCCAACGAATGTCAGAGAAGGTTCACAAGTGGACACGCTGCCATCTAGTGACAAAGACAAAAGGTATGGTCTCCCCAACGCTGTTCTTGGCAAACCATTATGGTAGCTGGTTTTGTTGGCCAAGGGAAGCCTTCAGATATTGGAGTTGGCCTGTAAGAAATTGAGTCAATCAAAATTCATGACTTGAAAAAAATCTATTGCAATTTTTAAGTTGTGAAATTGCTACTGATTCAAATTGTAAGTGAGGGCAGAAACTCCAAGGGGAAGGAATGAGAATATTATAAAGGTCTCCAAATAAACTTGACAAGAATTTAACACAGCTTTAAAATTTTTGTCTTTCTTTGATTTAGTTTCATAGGCTTTTCTCCTGAAGAATCAGATGACTTTTGGTAACCATGTGTGCCGCGCTGTTTCTTACTCATATAACTAAAGGCCCGTGAGTTGTCTGTAATAAGAGAAAATTCTCAATAAAAATTGTATGTGTAATCCAGTGTGATCTTTTTCATAATTTTATTTGGTACTCTCATGTATAAACCAAAAACAATTTAGTCCAGTGATACCTCTTTAGATCTACTCATTCTTAGGCCTTTCATTACACTAGAATGAGCTACTATATTTTTTTCCATTTTTATGTTAGGTTATATTTCATTGAAAATGTATTGGTCAGATTCCAGGCCTGCATTTTGTAAGTTTCATCTGCGTTCCTTCCTCTCCAGAGGTGGGCTACCACCTTAAAATAGGAGGCCATCTTCCCCAACTCTTTCTTCTGCTTTGTCCCTGAAAATAAAGACCTAGGTTTTTCCATTGCAGGCTCTAGAAGTAGTACAGTATCACCATTGGTCATTTCTTTTGACATTTTTTTTTTGAGAATGAACACAAACCCTTAGATCAGCGGTTTTCAACCTTTCACAGGGGTCGCCTAAGACCATCGGAAAACACATATTTTCGATGGTCTTAGGAACCGAGACACCGCTCCTCTATCCGTCTCCAGGCCCACATACAGATATGCCCACATACGAGTACCTGGCGACCCCTGTGAAAGGGTCGTTTGGCCCCCAAAGTGGTCGTTACCCACAGGTTGAGAACCGCTGCCTTAGATGGTGGTAAGAAGAGAAGGCAACATTTAATGAGCACTTACTTTATGCCAGGTCCAATTTTGAACCTGTACCTGTATTAATTCACTTACTGCTCATACCAGCCATAGGAAGCATCAGTACTATGACTATTCACATTTTACAGATGAGGAAACTCGGGGCACAGAGAGGTTAGTGACATGACCAAGGTCTCGTGACTGTCATGTTTCGGAGCCAGGGTGCATACCCAGGTGTCGAGACTAATCCTGCCTCTAACCTGGGCTATTCCGGAGCTGCTCCGGTGAAGACATCTCGGGACTTGGAATGGGTCACCCATTAGATGCCCCTCTCCAGAATGACTTAGAAACTACACAGCAACTCTATCAGGGTAACTGCACTCAGATGCAGCACCAGCATAACTTCCACAAAGGTAAGAGGAGACCCGTTTGCTCTCGCTCCCCTGTCTCCATCTTGGTACTCCTGCAGCCCTCAGTCCAGCGTCTTGGGAAAGTTCTTTAACGACACTGCCAGCATAGTCACCAAAAAGCGCACACACAACTGCTCTCAGGGTGAACAACTGTGCGATTGCCTGGACTGGGGTCTCCTGGGATGGGAGACTTTCAGTGCTAACCAATAGTCACCCAGCTCCTAGCACAGGAAGGATTCCTCTGGTCTGTCCAATAAAATCCTAGAGCACATCATTTTCCTTTACAAACTGGGCTAATTGCTTTTGCCAGTGAAAGCTTGTCTGGATTGCATTCTATAACAAAGTGGGACGGCTTTTAGTGTTTATTCTTAGGCTTCCAAGGAACTCTTCATTGAAGTATACCTTTGAAAGTAATTGAAACAAATGTGTTTTCCAGGCATTCGTCATTGTCACACTTAGCATATCAAACATTGAGTCCTGTTGCCAAGAATCTGGCAATCTGGCATCTTCCCTTTCGACAGCACCTCAGATAACTATTCTTCCAGCTTTATTGAGATATAATTGACATATAACATTGTGTGAGTTTAAGGTGTTGATTTGATACATAGCGCAAAATAATTACCACCGTAGCTAACACCTGCACACCTGCATCACATCCCACATTTGTGGTGAGAACATTTAAGATTTAGCAACTTTCAAGTGTACAATACAGTATCATAACTAGAACCACTATGCCACATATTAGATCTCCCAGACATTCATCTCCGGAAATTGGTTCTCTTTGACCAACACCTCCTCTTTCCCCCACTCCCCAGCCTCTGGTAACTCCCATTTTAGTCTGTTTCTGTGAGTTCTTGTAAGATGCCACATAGGAGATCATCCAGTATTTGTCTTTCTCTGTCTGACTTGGCTCACCTAGCATAATGCCCTCACGGTCCAGCTGTGTTGCAAATGGCAGGATGTCATTTTTTCTCATGGCTGAATTGTATTCCAGTGTGTGTGTGTGTGTGGGGGGGGACGTGTATAACATCTGTAGCCATTCTTTGATAGACACTTGGGTTGCTTCAATATCTTGGCTATTGTGACTAATGCTGCAATAAACAATAAACATGGGGATGAAGATACCTCTCTGAAATCCCGATTTAATTTCCTTTGTATAAATACCCAGAAGTGGGATTTCTGGATCATATGGTAGTTCTCGTTTTAATTTTTTGAGGAACCTCCTTACTGTTTTCCATAGTGGCTGCACCTATTTACATTTTCACCAACTGTGCAGATGGGTTCCTTTTCTCCACATCCTCAGCCAACACTTGTCGTCTTTTTGATGATAAACATTCTGACAGGTGTGATATCTCATTGTGGTTTTGATTTGCATTTCCCTGATTAGTGATGTTGAGCACCTTTTCATGTACCTGTTAGCCATTTGTATGTTATCTTAGAAAAATGTCTGTTCAGTTCTCCTGCCCATTCTTTATTGGATTGCTTGGTTTTTTTGCTATTGAGCTGTATGAGTTCTTTTTATATATTTTGGCTATTAACCCTTTATCAGATAATGTGGTTTGCAAATATTTTCTCCCATTCCATAGGTTGCTTTTTTATTTTGTTGATGGTTTTCTTTGCTGTGCAGAAGCTTTTTAAAAAGTTTGATGTAGTCCCACTTGTTTGTGTTTGCTTTTGGTGTCAAATCCAAAACATTGCGAAGACCAGTGTCAAAGAGATTACTGCCTATATTTTCTTACACGAATTTTACTGTTTCAGGCCTTATCAAGTTTTTAATCCATTTGGAGTTGATTTTTGTGTATGGTGTAGGCTCAGGGTCCATTTAATATTTTACATGTGCCTATCCAATTTTCCCAGCACAATTTATTGAAGAGACTGTCCTTTTTCCTATTGTGTATTCTTGGCTCCTTTGTCATAAATTAATTGGCCATATATGCATGGGTTTATTTATGGGCTCTCCATTTTGTTCTCTTGATCTGTGTTTTTATGCCAACACCGTACTTGGGATTCATCTTTTTTGGACCTCTCTGGGCTCCCTGGACCTGGATGTCCAGGAAGCCATCTTAGGGAAGTTTTCAGCCATTATTTCTTTGAGTAAACTTTGTGCCCCTTTCTTCTCCTTCATGGACCTCTACAATTACATGAAAAGAAAAGAAAAAGAAAAAGAGTGAAGATAACTTAAGGGACTTAGGGAACACAAGAGAACACACACACACACACACACACACACACACATACACATACACACATGAAGGTAACATTCGTGAATTACGGGACACCATCAAGTGAACCAATTGGTGTCCTATAAGTCCCTTAAGTCATCTTCACTCTTTTTTATTCTTTTTTTCTTTTTCGTCTCTGATTGGATGAATTCCACTGGACTTTGCTTATTCTTTCTTCCTCTTGATCTAGTCTTTTGTTGAACTCCCTCAATAGAATTTTTCAGTTCAGTTATTCTTCAGCTCTGTGATTTGTTTTATACTTTTTAATATTGTCTCTTTGTTGAAAGCCTCACTATTTCCGTGCATTGTTCTGAACTCGGTGAGCATCTGTGTGACTGTTATTTTGAACTCTCAGATAAGTCACTCGTATTTCCATTAATTTCTGGAGTTTTATCTTATTTGGAACATAGTCCATTGTTTGTTTTCCTTGACTCTCTGTGTTGGTGTCTGGACATTAGATAAAACACGCACCTTTCACAGTCTTAACAGAGTGGTCTCATGTAGATGAGCCTTCCCAGTCAGCCCAGCCCAAGCTCTCGGTTGCCTGTCAGACCTTTGTGATTGTCCAAGCTTCCTTCTTTGTTCTTGGTGCCCCCCTAATTGAAGATGTGTCAAGACTGGCTAGTGACTCAATGGGGAGATTCACAGTCAGCACCCAGATGCAGTTTGATTGGAAGCTGGACTCTCAGACAACTGGGAAAGGAAGTACAGTAGTCCCCTTTATCCAATGCCTCTGAGATCACCCATCGTCAACCATGGCCTGAAAATATGGAATGGGAAATTCCAGAAATCGAAAATTCATTAGTTTTAAATTGCACGTTGTTCCGAGTAGCGTGATAAAATCTCCCTCCACCCCACACAGAGGAGGACCATGCCTTTGTCCAGTGTATCCACGACCTGCTGGTTAGTCACTTAGCAACCGTCTCAGTTATCAGATCGACTGTGATGGTATCAGTACTTGTATTCGGTATTTTATTTTACTAGTTAAATATAACTTATTTTACTAGTTAATGGCCCTGAAGCCATTTATATAACTTTTATTTCAGTATATTGTTACAATTGTTCTACTTTATTATTATTGTTGGTAATCTCTTACTGTGCCTAATTTATAAACTTTATCATAGGTATGTATGTATAGAAAAAAACAGTATATATAGAGTTCAGTACTATGTACGGTTTCAGGCATCCCCTGAGGGCCTTGGAGTGCATCACCCACACAGAAGGGTAGACTCGTGTAGTTAGGCCCCTTCCTGGGATAAATGGGGAGACAGGCGTTTTGGCCTGAGCCCTCTGCACTTGGCTTAGTGGGAGTTTTCCTGCGCCTGTTAAGAACGGCTTTGTTTAGCTAGTCCTGTGGGACTTGTGAATGTAAGCCCCTCTGGCTTACAGATGTGTGTATAAGCCCCTTTCTGGGAGATGCTGGTGCTTTGGAGCAGGTGGAGGAGGTCTCCATTGGCTTCCCTCATCTCTGGAGCAGATGGCAGTCAGCCCCTGGATGTGTGCTGAATCAGAAGCCTGACTTTCAGGCCGCAGCTATTAATGTATGCAAATGGACCCTTTGCAGGGAAAGAACTGGAGCCGGTGAGTCTGCTGCAGCCGGGTAAGAACTGTTTGTTACAGTTGTGTGGGTCTCACGGACACAAGCCCTGTGGGCCTGAAGAGCAAGGTGTTTGCGGGCCCCTCCCTCAGGTGGGAGTCTTAAAAGATGGGGTCCAAAGCCTTTGCTCTTCAGGAAGAACCTTGGAGTTGGGAGTCCCCTCCTGA